GTAGATTGGCGACATTTTGGAGGCGATAAAGGTTACTACCTGGGACTTTGGTAATAATGTGAGCAGTACTCAGTTCCGATTACGCATTATTTTGTGTGAGGGAAACGAGAGATCATGGATATGTCATGTGATATTAATGGACGAATTACGGTTCTTAAATCGGAAAGGGGGGAAATCGGGAAAAATCTGGAAATTTTGTATTTGGCTTTATTCTGTGTTGTGTGAAACAGTGTTCGTTTAATTTTTGGATCCCTGGCCCTAACTAAAGTGAATTCGAAATGGGTATTTAGTGGGATTGAAAGGGGTAGTAATAAGTGTTTCTTTAAGGTTGTGCGAGATAGAAGTAAAGATGTTTTATTAAGTTATTTATTTTACCTGGTACCTTGCTGTGAACTATAAGTATGATTTTAAAGATCCTGAAACAGAAATAATAAAAGTTAAATAAAGGACACGTAATCAAGATTCTGAAGAAGATTAGGTAAGTTAGTATTTTTCATTATTTGAGGATACTTTTTTTATGCATTGTTCTAAATGTAAGGTGGAAGTAAAGTAATTTGGTATTATTGGGAAAATTGTTATAAGCAATGATTTAGTTTAAAAGTAATTAGGATTGTAAGCTAATTTTTATTAATTTAATGTATGTGCTTATTTATATTTTAAGTAGTGTTTTTTAATTTAATTATATTTTAATTAAATGATAGTTATTTTGTGAATTTTATGTTTGTAGGAATTTGGTATACGTTTCAATTGAAGTAAACGTGCATGGAAATAATTTAAATATTTCATACTAAGTATTTGTAATGTTTGCGGTATGAATTCGTTGTGACATTTATAATAATAGATAATTTAGAGGTAAAAGTTTTTGGATATTTTATACGGAAATGTTCATATTTGGAAAGGGTATATACTTTTTCGTTATTAGGTAATTTCATATATGTTCTTTTTAACGGGTTTAAAAGATTCAGAAAATTGTCATGCATTTTCGTGAAATTTTTCTAATTTATGAGGAAAAAGGAGTGTACATGGATATGGTGAATAGTGTGTGCAATGCCATTTTTGTGCAATTCTGGGATTTTTTTTAAAGTAAAAATAAGTCGACGTGTACATGTTTTAGTGATATTTTAATTAAATGATAGTTATTTTGTGGATTTTATGTTTGTAGGAACTTGGTATACGTTTTAGTTGAAGTAAATGTGCATGGAAATAATTTAAATATTTGACACTAAGTATTTTAATGCTTGTGGTATGAAATTCGTTGGTGACGTTTATAATATAATATGATTTAGAGGTAAAGTGTTTTGGATATTTTATTTATTTTATATGTGGAAATGTTCATATTGGAAAGAGTATAAATTTTCGCGATCAGGTAATTTCATATATGTTCTTTTTACCGGGTTTAAAGATTCAAAAATTGTCATGTATTTTCGTGAAAATTTTTCTAATTTATGAGAAAAAAGCAGTGTACATGGATATAGTGAAGAGTGTGTGCAATGTCCATTTTTGTGTAATTCTGGGATTTTTTTTTAAGTAAAAAATAAATCGACGTGTACATGGTTTATGTCTATGTTTATTTTGAAAAACGCGTAAGGAGTATGGTATTGTGCACTTTTCCCAATTTTGCAGTTGAATATTTGTCATGATTAAGCAGTTTTTTAGATAAAATTTCTAGCATAAGTGTAATTCGGCTAGTAGATTGTTGGAAGAAGTGTACAGTAGATAAAAAGAAACGAAACATGTCTTTACTTCGTGAAGACAAAATGGCGGCTGGAAAAAAAAATAGAGGGTTGCTGTAGGAGAGTTGGTCACCAAATTTTCGCCAAAAAATCGCCAAGTTACCATAATTTAAAGATTAACCAAAATATCCTCCGTTCAAAAATATCCGATTTTCAACCATACGCATTTTCTTCCTACAAACAGAACACTTAATAATGGCTACTAAGTAAACCTTCATTTACACACCAGTCAATTACTGCTTTTTTTCCTTTTCGTTCCAAATCCTACAGAAACTTCAAATTGATTTTATCACATTCAGCCAATTTACCATGTAAACCACAAAATAACAACATACTTATCCAACACACACAAGCCCTTACCCAAAATACGACACACACTTTCCAAATTTTTTCCCATGATTCAAATTCACCGCAACCAATTACATCATAATAGGGTTTCCATAGCATTCAACTACTCAGGTTGTCATAATTGAGACAACAACTTGGCGATAAATGAAACAACAACCTTCGCGATAATACAAGGGGTACCCTAAAGTCAACTCTAACCCATATTTCCTAACATAAAAACATTAAACAACAAATCCTTTCAAAAAACTTAACACACAGACACCAATAAATAAATAAAACATCAATTCTTTAACATACCTTTTCTTCACGTGCATACGTTAACGCCTCCCACTAGCATCTCGTCCATGTAAGCAATTCAATAAAATATCTGGTCATTTCAGTTCATCCGCTGTTAATAGCAGATGAATAAGTATAATAGCATTCAAGAAAGCCATAAATACATTCCTTCTCCTTCCAGCACTCAGAAATTATAGTCGTATCCGGAACAATATACTCATTTATAACACTAAGCAAACTTACAGGTACCACTTTCATAAAACATTACGCAAGTGCAACCAAATACAGCAATTTAAAATCTCCGGTCCATTTGAAAGGGGTTACTATTACAAAAAATAGTTGAATCTCAACTTATCACAACACATCTGGCAATATTTGCAATTTTCCTGAAGACTATTTTTGCCAATATTATCAATATTAGGGTTACCAAAAAACCTACTTCACGCAGCAGATTTCACGAACAATCAATACGCGATTATTTCAGAGAGAAACCAAGTGGAACCATACAGTAAATTTCAACCCACTCAGCCTTTATGACTGCCAGATGTTAAAAGTAACGGTTTTTTCTATCATCGCAATTAAAATATAATATATAAGAATAAATACAATATATATATATATATATATAATATATATTCACACACCGTACTCATGTATTTTCTTCCATCCTGTAATTTTCCCTTTAGTGCAGTTCTGAAAATTTTTTTCAGGATCCATGTCATTTCCAGTTTTTTCAAGGTGGTTATAAAAAAATCTTCCCTAAATTTTTTAATGAATTCATCCTCATAGTGATCATTTTCGTTTTTCTTTTTAATTTGCTTGTAGATTTGGGGTGCATAGGTTCTGATTGATGAAGCAATGATAATGAAGAAATAGAAGAAAGGTAAGATAAAAGAAAAGTCAAGAAAAAGTAGATATCTAATAGACTGGATGGTTCTGAAGATCACTTCATGTGGGATAGTGAATAAATGATGACCATCTGTAAGCTATAGTAGACACACAATAGTTCCAGAATCCAATTAAATGATTTCAAGCCTAGGAAGGCAGACAAAACAATAAGAGCAAGAATCAGGACACAGGAAGTAGAAATGAGGATATTTTATTAGATATTGTAATTTTGATATCCCTAAGTATTCTTATTAAAATGCAGGTTCCTTTTAAATAAATACTGTTGTGATAGTTAATGACAGTTTATATACGAACATTTTTCATTTGTACAATAATTGCTCCTTTTAGAAATTAAATTATTTGTATAATTTTCTGCTCTCAATTTTAAGATCATAAAATTAGCAAAAAAAGAAAAAATGAGAGCAAATATGGGACACATAGCTTGCAGTTTGATACAATGCAGTATAATGATACATAAGGGAAAAAATAAAACAAATCGAAATAGTGAACTCCAATAAAGTGTAAGAAGGCTATATACAAGCAACAAAGCTCCTTTCTTAAGAGTACATTCAGAAGCATCAAATTTATATTACACATTACACTAATATGTTATATTATCATATATAAATATTAGTTAATGTAATGCATAATATTAGTGTCGACAGTCTGCATTGCCAAATCAAATTATATAAACGTAAGACAAAATCTACTTGCTAAATCAACAAGAAAACTTGTATCGTAAAATGAAACACAATGTATACATCAATTTTAAAGCAAAAATTAAAAATCCATTCTAAGAAATAAGATAAGCATTAAACCTACCATTCTGTGCAGTAAATGATGGAATTTTGTAAGGACTCCCACCATTCATATCAACATAAGGAACAGGACTAGATGGAGAATATCGGACTGAATCTGGTCTTCCGTCGGCATCTTGATGAATTGATTTAAATTGCAAATGCACTTCAGGATATTCTTTCTGAAAGCTCAATAATCCCGAGATAATTTTTTCTTTGTGCGCTAAAGAAGTGCTTGACAAGATCTCGTTCTTCAGAGTGCACGAAAGGAAACTGTAAATATCTAAACAAGAAATACAAAGGAAACAGAACAGATCATTTTCTTAGATTAAAAACAAAGAACAAAATAATAATAATAATAATAATAAATATTAGCAACTTACCTTCCAATAAGTCACAAACAGAAGCATGAAATTTTGACATGATGAGACACAAATTCACTTTTCTTAAGCAAATAATAGTTTTATCTTCGCATTCAGTGTTATTCCTATTTAATTATTTTAACTTCTGGCTAAAGAAGTAAACAAACTCTTGACACAGTTCATAACACAACATCGCCACAAACATGCGCAAAGGTATCTGATTCCTCCAAGGTACACACACATAAAAATAATAATAATAATAATAATAATAATAATAATAATAAAATATTTCAGCCCATGTTTGTAAATAGCATGAAAGAGTATTCAATTTCCTCCAATTTTAGACAGTGTTTCATTTAATGTACAATGGAATAAATTACTTTGGATTCTAACAATATCATCATACGTTTCCATTTATCTGTGATTAAGTAATTCAGAAACTCGTTATAAAATACAGTGACTAGTTACCAGTAATTTTCTTTATCCCGAAGTAGTTCTTAAATTTATTTTGGTTCCCTATGCAACATTTTTTTTTTACATATGTGATTAAGCACCAATTTTTCAAAAAGTTTTATTTTGAATAAATTTAGTTATTAAAATCTGGCAACATACTTTTGAATTAGAAACCAGGCGGCAAACCTAAATTTAATATTATTTTATATATTGCTTCCCCTCACCTTAAATAGAGGGTTTTTTTTTTTAAAGTGATCTAGAACGACATGGATAAAACTTGTTTTGTCGATGGTTAGTACATAGTATTTTTTTCACGTTTAAAGTTATTACGTTATATGATACTTTTATTTTCTTTTAAACATTACTTAAATATTTCAACCTGTATAAATTTACATTGACTTTTTAAATTTAAAATTGATATGAATGCATTATTTTTTTGTAATGCCATAAAAACTAACTTTTTTTTTTTTTTTTGGTTCTTTCACATTATCAGCATGATTTAAAGAAAATATTATATACTTTTCTAATTTCTACAGTAAAATTTTAAATACGTGTTAGCTTCATCCATAATTTCTTCATTACAATAATTCGGGCTATAAATCTTAGCATTTCTTATAATAAACCACATGTCCTAAAGGTTTTCTTAATTCCTAATTTTATTTTATTTTTAAGATATTTTTTCGCCCATCCGATTTGATTCTACAGTTGACAGCTCTGCAAGTGATTTGACTTCGTTTACTTTTCAAAAAGACACTGAACCTGAAGCCACAGTAAGTTTCATTTATATAAAATATGCTACCAATAAAAAATCATTAATGTATTCTTCATTTTAAATTATCACAAATTTGCCTTGCTTAATTTTTAGTCATCAAAACTGTCCAAAGAAATGTTATATTTTTTCTTCTTCAGAATCAGAAGGTACCCACTTTCCTAAACGGCACAAAAGAGAAAAATAACTAACATTATATTTTAATAAATGAAATCAAAGTAAAAATAGCACATTATAAGTCACAGAAAAATAAACATGATTAGGAATGAAAAAAACTAAGATAAAAATAATATTAAAGAACAATATTTACAAAATAACTTGAAGAGCATCATTGAATTCAAACTTGCATAAAATAGTTGGGTAGAAATTTTTTGGCAGAGTTTTTTTATCTCTTTTTACTTTATGTATAAGATCAGTGAACTTCTCTGATAAAGTCCTTCTAAGTCAGTGGTCATTAAAATTGATTTGGGGGTCCGTGCAAGGTTTAAAATAAAATAATGAAATTGTGATCCATTTTCATTATTATGGAAATTTAAATAAATAACAGTAAATAAAATAGTAGTGACTTTTACGTCCTGAGTAAAATATAAATATAGGTGGTTGCTTAAAATACAGTATTTTACTTAAGTACTGAGTATTATGTAATACCTTTTGTGAATGAACATTGACAAAACTTATTTCCACTGATTTGTCACTTGTAGTAACAGTGGCAAGGTAGAGGTGTATATATGTGTATAACTTGTTTTAATGTTATTACTTAGTTATTTTTCAATTTACTTCAATACATTTAAGCTTTTGATTGCAATCAACATGCTAACAACTATATAACAACAAAATAATAATGGAATGAGAACAAAAACTGAGATAATTCCTCAAAAACGAAAATTAAAAAAATTCACTGACACAAGCTTGTGATTTAATAGTTCTGTATGAAGCCAGTTACTTAAGTTAATAAGGAGCATGACCGGAAACAGGTTTATATAGGAAAGCAATAATGTCGCTACATGCATCTACAGTATAAACATAAATTATAAAAGAGTCATACATCTAATTAACAATTTAGTTCTGTGTGATGCTGATACGAAGTGTATAAACAAATTTTTCCAGTTTTAGACAAAAAGGAGTTTTGTAGTGTTGGAAGTTTGGGTATAGTTGCATTTTTTGTATTGTTACGCAGATAGTGTACTTTTGTTTTGTAAGCATATATGAATAAAATTGATCTCTTTTAAAAAAAAAGTATATATATTACATTTTTCGGTATTATTCCGTTTTAGGGACCGTAAAAAATTTCAGCGAAAATATATGCACAAAAGCGCCAAATCTAGCGAATGTGCGCGAAGTTCATAAATTTTAGATAGTTCTATATTTGTAAGTCGCCATTGAAATACTAGTTTAATTTTTAAATTTTTTTCTAATAACACTATGGATTTAACAATTTGAAAATTGGCCAATGACAAAAAAGTCTGCAATAGAATTTTTTCAAACAACAGGCATCATTCGTAACAGAAAATTATGTTCGAACAACGAGGAAGTGAAATTCTGCTTTAGCGGTAACTCAGCAGCAAAATGGCAGTGCAGGAAAGAAACTTGAAATGAGAAGAAAAGATTAAGAAGTCAAAATTGGTTTGAAGATCGAAAATCCCCTTCCTTTCAACCGTTAGGTTCATCTATTTTTGGTGTCAGAAGATGACATCTATTGAATTTTGTGAACTCCAGCTGAAGATGAACCACAATACAACTGTAGACTGGAACAGTTACATGCATGAGGTGGATGAGGCAAAATTATTGAAGTAGACGAAAGCCTCTTCAGTTGAAGAAAGAATAACGTTGGAAGGGTTCTTCCGCCACAATGTGTTTTCGATGAATTATGCATAGAATCGAATGAATGTTTCTTCTTAATCGCTGTTCCAGAACGATCGGCAAAAACTTTATTGAATGTCATAAAGAAAATATCACAGAAGGAAGCATTATTTATACTGACTTGCTGGAAATCGTACAAGTTGGATGACTGTAAAATTGTTCATCCGACTTCTTGAACAAATCATACATGTGTCTTAAATCATACATGTCGGATGAACTGCATTTGACTGCCGACTTTTAACATTTTACTGTCAATCACAACTACGATTTTGTGGACACTGAAAGTGGATGTCATAGACAAACAGTAGAGCGGCTGTGGGGCAGTGCTAAATGGCGTAATAAAAATCGCACTGCTCAACAGCATTTCAATTATTATTTGTGCGAGTATGTGTACAGATGCTTGCAGAAAAAAACTGAAATATTTTCTGCTATGTTGGAAGCCATAAAAAAATTGGTTGATCTTTACATTATGGTAACTTGGTGATTTTTGGGCGAAAATTTGGCGACTAACTCTCCTACAGCAACCCTCTATTTTTTTTTCCCGTCGCCATTTTGTCTTCACGAAGTAAAGACATGTTTCTTTTCTTTTTATCTACTGAACACTTCTTCCAACAATCTCCTAGCCGAATTACACTTATGCTAGAAATTTTATCTAACAAAACTGCTTAATCATGACAAATATTCACTGCAAAATTGGGAAAAAGTGCACAATACCATACTCCTTATGCGTTTTTCAAAATAACACATAGACATAAACCATGTACACGTCGATTTATTTTTACTTAAAAAAAATCCCAGAATTACACAAAAATGGCATTGCGCACACTCTTCACTATATCCATGTACACTGCTTTTTTCTCATAAATTAGAAAAATTTCACGAAAATGCATGACAATTTTCTGTATCTTTAAACCCGTTAAAAAGAACATATATGAAATTACCTAATACCGAAAAAGTATATACCCCTTCCAAATATGAACATTTCCACGTATAAAATATCCAAAAACCTTTACCTCTAAATTATCTATTATATTATAAATGTCACCAACGAATTCATACCGCAAATATTACAAATACTTAGTGTCAAATATTTAAATTATTTCCATGCACGTTTACTTCAACTAAAACATATACCAAATTCCCACAAACATAAAATTCACAAAAAAAACGAAACTATCATTTAATTAAAATATAATTAAATTCAAAAAACACTGCTTAAAATATAATAACCACACACATTAAATTAATAAAATTAGCTTACAATCCTAATTACTTTAAACTAGATCATTGCTAATAACAATTTTCCCAATAATACCAAATTACTTTACTTCCACCTTACATTTAGAACAATGGCATAAAAATAATTCCTCAAATAATTAAAAATACTAAACTTACCTAATCTTCTTCAGAATCTTGCTTACATGGTGGATACACTTTTATTATGGATTCAATAAAATTACTAAACGATTTTTTTCTACGAATTTTTCCTCCACACTTCCTCCGCTAAATAAAAAGCAAAATTCTCTTTATCACAATGCCTCGGAATGATGCATTAAAAATCTATTATTCACTTTAGACAGCGCCATACAATCCCAAAATTATTCAATCCTACTTCACACAACACATAATGAAGCTTAATACAAAATAATATACAGCCACAGATATTTTTCCAAATTCCCCCCCTTTTCCGATTAAAGAACCGTAATTCGTCCATTAATATCACATGACATATCCCATGATCTCTCATTTCCCTCACACAAAATAATGCATAATCGGAACTGAGTACTGCTCATTATTACTAAAGTCCCAGGTAATAACCTTTATCGCCTACAAAATGTCGCCAAACTACCAGTTACCATATTCTAAAGATCAGCTAAAAAATCATATCTCCTGTTTAATTTCAGTTATGTTTAGCCTTTTGTTTATAAATTATAACAAAGAAAATGTATTTATGTGAAATTAACCTTTCATCTGAATTAGAACAATAATCTTAGATAGTTATTGGTACTTACGTATTCATGCAACCAGGCCAAAATTCGCATAAATTGCCAAATTTGGCGACCCTACTTACGGCAACCCTACATGTTATACGTGTAAAAAGAGCATGTGGAGATTCACAAAATTTTCCTGCATTTTCGTGCAAATTTTTGTAATTTATTAGCAATTAAACCCTTCCGGTTTCGAATTTGAATAAGTTGCAGAATTATTTTTTCGGCGGAAGTCTTTTTGCTATTGCTTTTAGCACTGATTGAAAACCATATTTGCCATAACCATGTATATGTCGACTTATTTTTACTTAAAAAAACATCCCAGAATTGCACAAAAATGGCATTGCGCACACTCTTGACTTTATCCATGTACACTGCTATTTTCTCATAAATTACAAAAATTTGCACGAAAATGCAGGAAACTTTTGTGAATCTCCACATGCAAAATAGCAGTGTACATGGATAAAGTCAAGAGTGTGCGCAATGCCATTTTTGTGCAATTCTGGGATGTTTTTTTAAGTAAAAATAAGTCGATGTGTACATGGTTATGGCGAATACGGTTTTCAATCAGTGCTAAAAGCAATAGCGAAAAGATTTCCGCCGAAAAAATAATTCTGCAACTTATTCAAATTCGAAACCGGAAGGGTTTAATTGCTATTTTAAAACAAAATAATATAAAAAACTGTATTAAAAATTATCTGTAATTAATAAATGTACATTTTCTTTCTATTCATACTTTTTTACTCAAACTTGCAAATCGTGGCAACCTGGTTGCGATAATATGTAAGTACCTAGTTATTTACTACAGTACGAAGTCTTTAATGCAGACTCATCGAGACTTCGGGGATTGTGGATTAGGGGTTTTTCCGGATTATAGATCATTAATTTAAATCTGGTAAGATGGTATGCAGAAATTATAAAATTGAAAAATATGAAACCGTAATTTATGAAATAAAGAGCAATTATGATCTAAAGGGTATCAAAATTTACAAAAAAAAAAAAGAAAGCTTAATATTTATTTGTTTACTTTATTAAACATTTCTTTCAATGTGAGTTGTTTAAGTTTGTTTCGTTTTATTGTGCTTAATACTTTCTCTTTAATTCTATAAACTGACATAATTTCTTGTTCAGTTACAAAGTTCCACTGTTCAAGTCTTGTAATTGCTGTGTCGAGAATACCGAACTTACTTGTCAATCGAAATTTTTTTCATTTTCACATAACCTCTCTGTCACTTTCTTCATGCCTTTATCTATTTTTTGTAAGCGATACACTTTTGTTTGATGGAACATCAAACATGCTTTTTCGCTTTGTAGGTCCTTTGGCAGCTCCAGAACTCAGGCAAACTCTTTTTGACATAATCGAAAGTTCAAGCTTACTTTTTATAAAATTGCTCTAACAGTCTGCAAAAAAAAAATAAGCCGGTTCCAATTAGAAGATTAAGGAACGATGCAATCTGTAACATTAACTGAAATAGATAATTAGATAATTTTAGCCTAGCTTATACCGTTTGTTATACATTAAACGTGCATGCGTAAACGTATAATGCGCATGCATAAATGCATTATGTGTTTACGCATGCGCAGAAAGTTTGTAGCTTTGATGTCCGGATTATAGATCATTTCAGATTAAAGACTTTGTACTGTCTTATGTTTCCTTTCTTGCGTTAGGGTTTCCATTATTATTTTTGGCTGCATTGGCATCAACGGTAGTTTGGCGATTTTTTTTACGGCCCTTAAAATGTAATTGTAGCCATTTTTCAATATAGTAAGCCCTTAACGTTGGCTAAGGAATTACTTAACTAACATTAAGGGATTAGTTATAGTACTAACAATATAGTAATCCCTTAACATTAGTTTTGGTATAGTTGCATTTTTTGTATTGTTACGCAGATAGTGTACTTTGTTATATATCACATATTTCAATATAGTAATCCCTTAACGTTGAAACGTTTCTGTGCAAGCAAATTTTGGAAAGAGGAAAATGTTCTCCATTTCAAAATCTTTCGAAATTGTAAAACAGAGATGAAGATTTGCTTGCTTATTGTCAGCACCTAACGCCTCTTCATGCAGCCCTGAACCTTTAAGACATTCTTCACTTGTATATTATATGAAACCCCACAACAAAATATCTCACAAATAGCATTTTCTTTAAATCTGCATGAAGTTTCCTTCAGTGGTAAGCAGGTATCAACACTTTTTTTGGTACTATTCCGTTTTGAGGAGCGTAAAAAAATTACAGCGAAAATGTATGCGCGAAAGCGCCAATCTAGCAAACCCAGCCAATTAACAGTGCGCCAAATCTAGCATACGCGCTGATTTTAAATTGTGTAAGTTTATGTAGTTCTATATTTCTTAAGACGCCATTGACTAGTTTAATTTTTAAATCCTTATTTGATATCCTATGGATTTAACAATTTGGAAATTGCCCATGACAAAAAGTGTGCAATAGGATTTTGGGTAAAGTGCAGAACCACCCACTGGTTGACGCGTTTTTAAGAATTGCACATACTCGATATCCATGTACACATCGACCTATTTTCACTTTAAAAAAAAATCCCAGAATTGCACAAAAATGGCACTGCGCGATCCCTTAACTTTATTTATGTACACATAGACCTAATTTCACTTAAAAAGTAAAAGAAAATCGACAAAAATACAATTGATTTTACTCTTGTAAAAAAACGGCAAACAAATAAGTGGGTGATTCTGCACTTTACCGAGAATTTTTTCAAAGAAAAGGCATCATTCATTATAGAAAATTTTGTTTGAACAACCAACAAGTGGAAATTATGCTTTAGCGATAACTCGCTAGCGAAATAGCGATGCAGGCATCCATTCAGTTATGTTTAGCAATTTTTATATAAATAATAATAATGATTTGAAATAGTTATTGACTCTTTCGCTTCCATTCAATCATGTTTAACCTTTTTTATATAAATTATAATAATAAAAAAGTATTATATGAAATTAACCTTTCATCTAAATTCAAACATCAATCTTAGAGAGTTATTTACTATTATACTTCCTTTCTTGTGTTAGGGTAGCCGTAATTATTTTTGTCAGCACTGGCATCAACAATTGTTTGGCTATTTTTTACGGCCCTCAAAACCGAATAGTACCCCTTTTTTTATTATTATTATTCTTTCCAATGGCTAGGCAAAAAGTTATAAAGAACTAAATCTTACAAAAGAAGTTACAAACAATAGAACTAAGAACAAAAAGACTGAAGTCATTGCCTAAGCAGTGCTCTTAACTCCCAGTATCTCGACTCATCCATAAGACCACAAAGAGCCCCATGTCGAAGCAGGTGGTCCCTGTCCATTTCATATCAACATATGAGCATCAGGATTTTACTGTGTTTTAAGCTGTATGGTATATGGTTCTTAATAGAGCTATTTGGTATTCCGTTATGAAGATAAGATGCAGTTAATATGGCAACATTCCCAAAGACATTTGGAAAGCTTTGATTCAAAAATTAGCCTGCCTTTTTTTCAGCAAGGTTTGGTTAGCTCTTTCTGCAACTCTGGTTAACAATGAAGTATGCAAAGAAACTATCATTTGTAACATCATGTTTAATAGCAAATTGAACTAATTCTCTGCCTAGTATTCCTTAACAATAATACATCTAATTTTCCATACAGAAGAATTTGACTTCAGGAAAGCATTCCATCATGTCTCCTTTTTCAGTAGTGAACTTCAATAAAACATGAAAAATCATCCTCAGTAGTCATGAAGTAATTCTCACCTGCTTGTGTGTTTGACATAATAATGTATCTATATGTATTATGACCATTGGCTCCAATTCCCTGAGCCTTCGCCCCTTTTTTATCAGGATAGCATTCTGTTTAACATAAACACAAATTTCACAGAATGATTCCGAGTCTGGAAGCCCCAGCTGTTTGAGTTGCAAGATTGGAAGAATAGCCAATTCTTTGATGCCACAATTCAGCATCACTGATATTTGCATATAACGAAACTTGGTACTTTTCCATTTTGCCGGCGCAAGCGATAAAGTCACCAAAAATGATACAACCGATACCAAACGAAATATCCTCGCTGGTAATCTTTTATGCCTCATTTTCAAAACAGTTCGCAGCCATTTCTTATCAGGTTGATTGTTTCTTTCAATACTGGTATACAATTACATAGAATTTTTACCCAGATAGTTCAATTTTACACCCTAAGGCCATTCGCGGTAATTAAGTCAATTAGAATGAAATCACACCACTCACCCGAAGGCGAAAATATAGAAACGGCAAAGTCAAGGGTTAAATTAGTCGATTCTAATGAGAATGCACTAGCGAAGTAAAGCACTGCCGTTTTACATAATTTCGAAGTAAGCTATTTGTACGAATTGAAATAATTCTTGCATTTAAACTTGTATTCCAAATTAAGATATAACTTGAAATTAATGTAGATAATTACTGAGAGAATTAGATTTTTGTAGCGGAGTTTACGTGAGACGAGATCACTTGGGGTCACGTGATAAGAAACTGCGAATCAGGGTGTTGTACCATGAATGCGTAGCAAATTCTTAATGTCTTTTTACAAAATTTTAAGCCATATTAAAATGTTCACACCTTCAAAATAAAAATTTCTTAGAACTAACAACATTTGTTAACATTTTTTATGTGTATGTGTGTTGTGGCCAACAAAGTCTGCTTGGCGAGATTTGCACCGGCGAAACAGAAAAGTATCTGAAACTTTAATCAAGCATAAACGTACTGGCCACGTTTATCACGATGGCCAAAATGTATGTTATTACTTTTGTTAACAATAAGCATCATCTGATTCTTAAAAATTATCTTAGCTTACCTTAAAAAAAAAAAAAATAATAACCTTTATCTTCAGTATTTGACAATGATATTAATTCACCATTCTGATCTGGCACGAGAAATACATTTTTAAAAATTATTTGAACACCGTTAGATGTTTTGCCATAAATATGGTCCTCACCTTTCACATATTTAAAGTAGGTAAATATGGTGCACATTGCAGACTTCTTGACTCGGGAGTAAATAAAGACAATTATTCTCTTCATGAACACATGTGAGAAGTAGCTCTGGAATCAATAAAACTTCTATGTGTTAAGATTATTTGCAGTAAATACATGCATAGTCATATTTTACATGTCTAGGTTTCCACATTTAGAACACAGAATCTTCTTGTTACATTGTTATGCTGAATGCACTTTCTTTTTACAGTGAATGCAGATACGTTCCTTTCACTGTAAATGGCTTCCCCTTCTGTAAGTCCAGGGTTAAGTTTACTCTTGATTGTTATGCAAATTAATTTGGTTTACATATTTTAACTTTAAGTTTTGTATTAATCACTTTCAGTATATGGGTACTTATGAGTACCCATATACTGAATCATCAGAGTTTCTATTATTTCTTGAGGGAAAATTTGCTTTGATATACGAGTGCCTTGCTTTACTTTTAGAATGAATTATGTTCGCAAGCCAAGATACCATCATATATTCAACTGTGTGCATGTATGTATATATATTTTTTAACAAACATGTAAATACGTAAAAAAGCAAATTTAAAGTTAAAATTAAAAAATGTGCAAACATATAAAAAATGTGTATATATATATATATATTCAGTGTAATAAATGCATGTGGTAAATTTGAAATTGTTTGAAATTATCTTTAAGACATTTCTCAAATTGCATTTGTAAATTTATTTGGTAAAAAATATATTTTAATTTATATATATTTATTGCAATAGAATGTTGATAAAAAGAAGAGAACATCTGATAAGAAAAACTGTGATGTGCCAAGGGAGCAAAGGAACAAGGACAAAAAAGATTTTAAGTATTTGGATGGTAAAATCCATAATTTCATGTTTCTGTAATCTGACTAATACGTATTATGCTATTGTGATTATGTCCTCACAATAGCTTTTATTGCTTGAATTATTTAAATACTGCGACTTCAAAAATGTAATGCTTCTTTCGGCATCTAATTACCTTCACTTTTTTTTTTTTTTTTTTGGTTACATTGGCTGTAGGCCAATCGACATATTTTGGCTGTAGGCCAATCGACATTGGCTGTAGGCCAATCGACATATTTTGCATTGTCGTCTAAATTAGTAACTTCTTAAAAAGTATGAGTATTTTTATAGTATTTAAATGAATGAAAAATTTAAAAACAGAACTTGAATAAATGTACAACAAGATTAAATTTATTTGGCCAAGATAGAATGAGAATATTTAAGTTAATGTTGTGCTGTGCCTTAAAATAAATTAGTCCATGCCACCTACAAAGAATTTGTTTCTTAAATTTTTATATTATTCTATGCTTGAAGATCTGTATTCCTGAAAAAGGACTGAAGAGTTTTCTTGCTTAGGTAATACCAGGTTTAGTAGTTTCTTGATATTCTGAGTGTCTGTTCAGTGTAAGAGTTAAGGCTCAGATTCCTTCTACTTTCCTTGAGATAATAATGGTAGCTTTATGTGTGTATTAAAGTTCAAAATGTAGTCTGAATATTTTGCTATGTAGATGTGAAATCATTGATGATGAATTTTAATCTCTTTTAAAATATAATTATGTAACATTTCTGTCAGTTAATCCGATGACTTTGCTGTTTACATATATGAGAAAATGGTACTTTTTGGTTAACATCACCACTTGGTATCAAGCATAATTGTTGCCAGAAAATCTAATAAGGTAAAAATAACTATAATAAAATATGTATCTTCATGGAAAGAACTATTTTATAAAAATTCAAAGTGAAAGCAAAGACAGAAATTTAAAAATAAGAAGGAAAAAAAAAAAAAGCTGAATAGCTAAAGACTAAAAGATATACATGAGCTTTTGAATCTACATCTGCTCTGTACACATTTCTTCTTCTAACGTGATCTTTCATTCCAATGCTTTGATACTATACTACCAATCAACCTAAGTAGATGCTGGGGATACTATAAAGTGTATGCATCTGTTGTAGAATGTAGTTCTACCATTTTGAAAAGTTGTATTATAAAAATTACGCTGTGAAATATCAATACTGTCGAGCAAAAGAGAAAACTATGTGAAATGATAGATTACACTGCATCTATCATTTTATTTAAATATTTGTTTATATTCAACATTCAAAGACCAATAAGGAAGACGTCTCCTTTTTTCGCATTATTGGCGAAACTACAAACTACAGCAACTCCTGACTTTCTTCCACTCTAGCTGCGAAAAACAATCATTCATTCATTCACTGGCCAGGAGGAGGAGAAAGCAATTCGATACGTATGTATTAACACAACTGCCTTGGCGCAATTTGGTGACTTTTTACAGTTGGAAAGGTAAAAATTACTTATTAAGTGCAAATGAGTGCTTTTTTGTGCCTTTTTTTTATAAGAAAGATTCCCAAACTATGGATATTTATAGTCGATCAGTAAACATTATCAACATATGAAAAGAAAACATACTTTAGCGATTTAAAATACGAATTTTAATTATAAAATAAGGATTGCATGATATATTAAAAACCTTTTACATTCTTCTTCAAATCTTTCCACTTTTCTTTTTGCGTGTGCGCTGTTCTTTTGAAGTTCTGAGCAAACTGCTTTCAGATAAAAAAATCGCAGAATTGCGGACACTCAACTTCATGCAAACCTCGGCAACAACAGCTCTCTAGGAATTGCACTTAATTGTTCTCTTCAGAAAATGTTTAGCAAAACTCTGTATTCCTCCAGAAATTTTACCACAGTTTCTTCCACTGCTTGAAAAATTCCACAAGCTCATATTTTAAAAAAAAAAGTTCAGTAAAAAATATTACGATTCGTTATAAACAAATAAAACGATTGGAACTTGGAATACAACTTAAAAAAAGCACATGCAAAATTGTCAGTGTTGCCTGACTGAAGAACTGTTTAGAGCATGTTTGGCAGAAGAGTGATTATATGCATGGTTGGCAGAGTTTAGCACATTCTGAAAATTTGGCGACTTAAACTGCATTTTAAATCAAACAAGGAAATAACATAAGAATGGAAATACATGTTATCTAATCTACACTGTACAAAAAAGGAAATATCGACTTACCTTATTTAATAGTTTGTTACTTCGATATGTGTGACCAATAGAATTCCTTAACAACATCCAAAAATTATTTTAAATTATCTAAATTAGAGTTTGTATACTGCCATCGCCACATAAATTCACAAAAGTAAAAATGAGAAATATCCTTCAGACTGTCAGTAGCATTTCTTTAAAAAATCACTTTTTATTACATCCCAAATACCTTCTATAGTTTTGATATGAGCTCCGGTTTCCAAATCCTTAAATCTCGCTGCATAATTTACCGATAGGTGAACGAAGCCATTTAAATCTTCATTTACACACCAGTCAATCAATGTTTTCTTTTGCAATTATTCCAAAATGTACAGAAACTTCAGATTAATTGTACCACTGGTGGGCATTTTATGGTGTAAAGCACAAAATAAGCAATGTACTTCCTAATCAATATCTAATACATATATAGCCCTTACAAATAATTTCCCATCTGTCAAAATCACCACAATCATGCAATATAACAAATCACATCATAACAGGGTTTCCATAACATTCTATTGCTCAGGTTACTATAAATGAAACAACAACTTGGCAATAATCCAAGGGTTACCCTAAAATTTAGACTAACTGAATGTTTTTATCAAATTATGGGAGCATTTTCCAATACATATGACTACTGAATTAAATTTTAACTTTTACTGGTGAGTTAACTGGCACTTCTAGGACAACCATAAATTGCATGAAATTTGAACTGAAAGAAAGGATGAATTTTCGACTCCAGGGAAAAAACTACTTCTGAAAATCAGCATGCAAACTTGAAACAAACCGCATGATAAGCTAACTTTAGGGGCAATATAAAGAAATGTTCACAGTTTCTTTTTACAGAGCAAAATTTCTATTATGCAAAGAGTGACAAAGGTTATTAAATGGTTTTACCAAATATGTCCATTCTCACAGTAGAACAAATGATTTAGGGTTTGCATATAAAAAATGAAAGTGCTAGTCAATTTTGATTGAATGTAATGATATTCAGTTCTGGAAGCACAGATATCTAAGAGATATAAAACCAAATAGCATGCACAGGATAGAAAAATTTATTATATTAATGAAACCTTTCTAAATTTTGGCCATTCTAAAACCAAACCAAAATTTGGCAGAATCCGATGATAAAAAGTGCTAAGAGAGCCTATTTAAGCACTCTATCAACAAGTTTAGGTATTCTCTCAGGAAAAGGTTCATGATGCATAGTTTGCCTAATTTGTTTCTATTTTGCTGTATTTTTCTTCTGTCTTTATGTAGTTGTTAATTGACATAAATTAAAATTTAATTTATAATAAATCCACTGAGAATTTTTATGAACATTTGCACTTTGTTGTAATTAATGAAAGACATTTCTAATGTCATATGATTAGTTATAAGATTTTTTTTCCCCAGTTTTTATGTATGTTTTACAGTTTTAAAGCTTTTAATATTTTTCTAATATTTTTATACTAAACTCATTGAATCATTAGACTGCAGTTCTTAGTTTCCAATATTTTTATACTAAACTCAATGAATCATTAGACTGCAGTTCTTAGTTTCCAATATTTTTATTTAAAATAACAATAAACAAGATAGCCCGAGACGTACTGCGAGAGGAGGGTTGTCTGGGTTTCATTTTTAAAGTGCATATCTTGGAAGGTGTTTGATACAGGATGTAATTTTTAAAATGTCTGTTATAAAATGCAGTTAGAGTTTTTTAAGTAATAACAAATTCAAATCTAATTAATGTCTTTAGAAGATAAAAATTTGAAATTTTGCTGAAAATTTAAAATTGCTTTCGAAGCAGCAAACTGGTTAAATTCTTACAAATTAGGAGACAATAACTTGCTTCCAAATTTACTGAATTTATATGTTTTACTTTTATCTAAATGAATATTTGGGAAGACAAAAATGAAACTGCAAGAAATGCATTTTTAGCTCTTTCACACTGCGTTTAAATGTCAATTCATGCTCTGCGGCTAACTATCAGGTTCGACTATATAGCATCATCGCATAAAAAGATTGTTAATTTAATATGTTGGGTTTGGCAAGAAATTGTCAAATGTACAGGGAATTGAAACAATCGAACATCTGTGAGCAGTTTGTTGCGTATGGCTGAGCTGAAAAACAGTTTGGAAAGCCATGAAAAGGGCGTTCTACCCTTGTACATGTTCTCAGTTTAGTAAAAACAAATAATTTAATGATTTCTTTTGCATAAAACTGGATATTATCTTTTCCTTGGAATAATATAATTACAGTGGGTTTGGGGTAGCTTTTAGTAGTTGGCAAATTGTGTTTCTTACTCTTCTTTTTTCTGTTAAAGCACATTAACAAAAGAAAGAAAAAAAAAAGGGGGGGCAGCTAAAAATCTCTGAGAAAAAACTACTAAACTGATGTTTATGCTTTCTCTTTATTCCTAATGATATCATTGCATAGCCATATATGATATAGAATAAAAAGTTACCACATCTGCCACTCTATTACAAATGCTATTCAGTTAACTGAAAGCAAGTAAATATTTTGAAAGCAGTTTTGAAGTGTAAACTGAATAAAAGGATCAGAGGGTCGCTGAAAAATATAAAATATTCGTTCATTTTACAAAACAGGATATATGAGAACCCAAAATGCCTAGCTGCATTTTTATTTGCATTTCTAAGACAAATGAAGATTTTAATATAAGTCACAGTCACTCAAGTAATTTTTAAATGCATTATACAGTTAGCACTGTAGCTTTCATTTCACACTTGCAACTTTCAATACTCATGCCACAATGGCAGGAACACATACTGGGTATTTTGCCTTTTTGCACAACACTGCCCTCTCGAGACAATTTCTACCTTTTGCAGTTCATGAACCAGAGAGGTAAGAATGAGCAACAAAAATGAGGTGTTTTGTTAATAAATATATTGCTTACAAATTTTTTTTAAAGCCTTAAAACTAAGATAATGGAAACTTTAGTCATTGCCAAGACCCATTTAAAGGACTTTTCTTATGCTGAGTCCTATGTTCAATTATCAGCTGGAAAAAGAATACTTGGAAATCTCTGTAAGTCTCTCAAATTTAAAATGCAAACTTTATTGTTGTATATTTTTTAAATATGTTTGCGATTTATGAGGAATGTTAAATAAAAAGGCTGAACTTTTTAAATTGCATGTCAACAACTGCAAACGGTATGTTTCTTGCACTGTGTGCACTTAGTAACATAGTACATTTTACTGAGTTCAAATGTATGTGTAAGTTGTCAAGTAACCATTAGTTCAGTGAGATTGTGTATAAACAGCTCATTGGATTTGTAAATAAAGAATAAAGAAGCTGGAGAAGCAATGCATCTGTAAGAAATTTTGTGCAAAACTGGGCAAAACATTCATGGAAGCATTTCAAATACTTAATCAAGTACAGTCAAAAGTCTTTAATCCAGACTCGTCGGGACTTCGGCGATTCCAGATTATCGATTTTTCCGAATTATAGCTCATCAGTTTAAGTCTGGTAAGATGGCATGCAGAAATTATAAAATTAAAAATATGAAACCATAATTTATGAAATAAAGAGCAATTATGATCTAAAGTGTATCAAAATTTACAAAAAAAAAAAAGCTTAATTTGTTTACTTTATTAAACATTTCTTTCAACGCGTGCATGCGTGAAGCATACATTACGCATAGTCGAAATTAGAAAATTGCTACCAGAAAACTATTTGATGTGTACTCGTGATATTTATAATGACGAGGAATTTGATTTAAATCATATCAAAGACGGAGTACATCGAGATGAAATACTACATTTAGTAAGGAATTATAAGCTGAATAAAATAAAAACATCTGCCCTGAAGATAAGGATAGTGCTGACAGATCAACTTCCAGTTCACTGTGTGCCACGACATCCCCCCCCCACACACAGAGCAGCGTGAAATTGATAAACAGATTTCGGATTGGTTAGAGAAACAAAGGATATGCCTTTGTCCATTTTTTGCAGCAATTCCACTTTTTGTTTGATGGACATCGAAACATACTTTCACTTTGTAGATCCTATGGCAGCTGCAACATCAGAAATTCTATTTGACATAATCTAAAGTTCATGCTTACTTTTATAAAATTTCTCTAACAGTATGCAAAAAAATAATAAGCCGGATCCAATTCGAAGATTAAGGAACAACGCAATCTGCAACATTAATTGAAATAGATAATTAGATAATTTTAACTTAGCAACTTAGCTTACACCGTCCGTTATGCATAAAACGCGCATGCGTGAACGCATTATGCGTTGACGCATGCACAGAAAGTTTGTAGCTTTGAGGTCCGGATTAATGAATTTTGACTGTATTAAAAGTTGACTGCCGAACCGAATGTAGTGCTGTGATTGGTTTAAGGAAACCAGAAGTTCAGTTGTTGAAGATCCAAGAACTGAGCAATATTCCACATCAAAAGACTACCAACATGTTCAGAGAGCACTATAAATTTATACCATGTAGTTCGGCAGTAAACAATGAGGTCTGCCAGAGAATTGTATATATAAGAGACCTGAACTATGGGGAATTGGTTGTGGAAGCTGCATTATGAAATGTTTCAGCTCATGCATCGCTCCATTACCGATTATCTCACAAAACATCTCACTTCTGTTGTGCCCCAACCGCTGTCCTTGACCCCGACAGACTTTTTCTCTTTCTCAGATTTAAACCACTTTAAGAAGACATCAGTTCCAGTCTACAGAAGAAATTCAGTAAAATGCGATAAGAGTTCCGCAGGCCATCGAAAAAGTGGTTTCCAAAAGAGGAGGAAATGATGGCAATGGTATATTGACACTAGAACACTAGAAGGGAGTACTTTGAAGGAGACAGTGGTCGAAAGTTTATATGATGTCTCTAAAGCAGAATTTGTGTTAGATAATGTATCTTTATATCACCAAAGTGTAACATATAGTATATTAGTTTTATTTTTAATTGGTCTCTAATTTTACATAATGCAATTTTTTTTAAAGTAAACAATTTAGAAATGCCAAAACTAAACAGTTCTGTACAATATATCCCTAAAAATATCACAATACAGTATGTGAGAAGTTAGAAGGAAACAAGTGCTGTTGGAAAGATTTCAGTGCACCACTTTGTTCAGAAGATATGTAGTTTTTAAATCCTGTGATATCACTTTTGATTGGCTGAGTAAGAGGTCTGGTATTCTCTCTGTCTGTAGGTTACTGGAAACTACCTTATTTCATTTTATGGTGCCACATGAAACCATTTGTGTTCTAAGAGCCCTTGAACACTGCAGAGGAAATCATTATGCACATTCAGTTAGCCTAACTTTTGCTAATGCCAGGCACTTTACAGTGTGTTAGTTCTCAATCTAAAAATCAGTACCTCTCATATTAATTTCATTGGTTAGTTATTTGAACAGTTGCTGTGAGATACATCATGCAAAATATTGCAAACCCATGACTACTTTGCAGTGTCTTTTACTCACCTAGCCACAAATGACACCACAGAACTCTGACCCAAGTATGACATTTATGACACAAATGTGACATTCTGACGCAAGTTTAAAGCTCTAACTGAAGTATCACATTCATTCCATCAGTATTTTGTTTCCTGTAATCTCCTGTTTATGCCATATAATTATGTTACATTTTTTGCTGTGACATATTCTTTATAAAAATCCTAGAGTATCAAGAGAGAAGAGAAACTAGCCAAAATAAAACTGAAAATTAGGCAAAAGCAGTCTTATGTTAGGTATAGATTTTAATTGAAACTTAAAATCTATATCAAGAATGGGTTTGTTGTTTTGCCTAATTTAACCCTAGAATATGTTTTACTGTTGAACTTAATTGTGTTTTGAGCTAAGGTTTCCCAGTACTTGCATATTAGTGCAACCACCTTGATGAAGTTTGCCAACTCTTTTTACAGGAGGAAAAGAACAAAGATTGTTCTAAAAATAAATTGAAATTTGCTTGCTTAATCAAGCAAACCTAAATCTTAATTAATGTTCAGTGCAACTGTGGATAGTGTTTATTTAAAAATTAAATTTGGGGATTGTTGCTTCGAATGAGCACTAATAGAGTTCTCTTTAAATGGCATTATATTTTAATCTAAAAGTTTATACATTACTAAAAAATATATTTAGAATTGTATTTTGAACTTTCAGTATGTATATTCTTCATACATTTGGTCTCAGTATTTTCCTATTAACAATACCATTTCCAAAGATACTTTTAAATGCATATGACCACTACCTTGAAATGACATGTATTATTAACTTAAACTAAATTCCTAAATATTGACTAAAAAATGCATTACGCAGCCACAAGTACATCTGAATATATAAAAGTTGCCATCACTAGCATCCATTATTGGTATTTATCTAAAACAACATAATAAAAGAGTAAGCAAGAACAAAATGTTCATATCTAAAGATGTTTAGTTTTATGCTATTGAGTAATTACTTTTAATCACCCTTCACTTTTATAATTTTCTTATATTATATATTTTGTTTTTGCTTTCATAAATTTATATGTTAATAAAACCAATAATATGAAATCTTTATGGTAGAACATGCTGTTCAATGCAAACTGTATTTCCAGTATTAATTTTAAATAAATTTTTGCATATGTTTTTCCTGATACTTAGTGCAGAAATATTTTTTTAGATGTGCTTTCTCCAATACATTTTGATCCATCTGTAACTGATGACAGCAGACTTTCAATAGATCAGTATAATACTGCACCACAAGTACCATCTAAAGGCAATGCAAGGAAAACTGTGGTATTTTTAATTTTTTAAATCATTTATGTTGCATATTTTCCCCCTTTGCATGAATACTTATAAGTGATTGCAAAAAATTGGAGCTATGAAATCATATTACAAAACCTTGAATTCCAGCTCTCTTCCTTCCCAAGCTTTGACCCTAGTTTATGTGAATACTAAGCTAGTGTTTGAATTACAAGTCTACTATGTAAAATAAAATAATAAAAATTCTGAGGCATTTTATTGCCTACATGTAAATCATCAGAGCTATTTTTTAGACCTTTCACATATAAGTTTGATTTCAACTTATATTGCTAGGGACTTGCATACAGTATATTTTATGAAAGTGTGCATTGTTTTTAATTCATGAGATTACATGCAAATCTTCTTGTGATTTTGAATTCTTGAAAATACCTCCATTCCCTCTCTCTCTCTTATTTTCCAGTGTTTCTTTTAATATGCATTTTCATACTTTTTTGACAGATAATCTAAAAACTTATTCATCTGGTGCAACAGATTGATATGTTTGAAGCTTGTTTCTTCATGTATGAAGATAGTTCAACCTAATTATTCTCATAAAAGGATAAGCGTGCTTAATTTTACCTGGAACATTTAATTAAATTGCTTAATTTTACCTGGAACATTTAATTAAACTGCTTAATTTTTCCTGGAACAGAGAACATGTTGCATGCTTGCTATGTTATTGTTTTTCCCCATTACGATTTCTCTTTTGCTTTGTCATATATTTTATGAATGGCTCATAAAATGAGAAGGTTTGCTCTTTTGGCTGTACTTGCCTTGGCTTCTTTCACTAATTTCTTACAGAAATTGTATTATTTGCTTTAAAAAATATACATTTATTTTAGTTATGGCTGTAGACTTTTGAAGAAATTGAATGCTTCTCTTTGGAACAGGTTTAATTCATTTATTAAATGGATATTTAATCTCTTTGGCAGACAGTTTGGCTCTATTTACATCTTGGCATAAATTTTATTATCATTGCTATATCTATCCCCCAGCTTATAGTTTAGTTAATGTTAAAATAACATGTACATAAAACCAAGTCGTTTTTCATAGCCTCTGTTCATTACTATATTGTTGTTTGAAATAAATTCAGAATTTTTGCATAATGAAACTCAATGCAACAGCTGCTAAGGAGCTTAAATTTAGCATTCTCAGCCAAAGTTTGAGCTTCCTCACTATTATCTACAGCAGATTAATCAAACTTGCATTCCTTAGAAATAACAAAAGGTATATAACTATGATATATTTATGATATATCAATAAAAATTAGAATTCCATCAAATATCTCATAATCTCATACCAAAAAAAAGATTTGTGAGATCGTCTTTTAGATATTTTTTTGACAGGCACTGAGAAAAAGCCAGTCCATTTACAAATGGAATTAATGAGAATTTGAGTGTGATTCAATTGTAAGGAAAGATTCAGTAGAAGATTCAATAATATCCCTGAATTTTGCAAAACTTGCTGGCATGATTTTTAGAAAGCTGCAAATTTGCACTGTACACGAGTTTCATGTTCAGTAGTACATATCAACATGAAAATTTTTTCTTACTAATTGAAAAGGAACAAGATTTAGGTTAACAGACATTCATCTGATCTATATATTCTGAAAATCGCTAGTGTGAGCAGCATGTTTCCAAAGCAGCTGGCTCCAGACATCCGAAAGCTGCTTGTAGCAACAAAGATACCAGGTATCAGGAAAGAAACACTAGGTATCCATCTGCTACCCAGATTTCCTTATATTTATTTTATTTTTTAAAAAAACTATAGTACTACAGAAAATCTTATGTGTTTACTCACTTTTTAAATGATTGGCTTTTCTTTATTTGTGGCCCATACTACGTACACTTATAAGATATTTCTCCCACCTTCTTAACATGCCTTCATGTTGTAATGGTCAGCACACTTGGCACGTATCGAGAGGTTTGAGTCCCAGCAAGGGTATTGCCCATTTTTTCTCTCTCCTGCTTCAAAATAAACCTAATGTCTCCACAGTGGCATCCAAACTAAAAAAGGTGGTGGATGTTGCTGGTGGTGGAGAATCAACACCCCTAATTTCCAGTCACCCTTTAAAAGGGGAAGTATATAAGGTATTTCTCCCGCCTTCTTAGCATGTCTTTGTGGTGTAATCGTCAGCATACTCGGTGGGTATTTGAGAGATCCGTGGTTCGAGTCCCGACAAGGGCATTGCTCATTTTTCACTTCTTCAAAAAATTTTTCACTCCATCATAATAACCTAATGTCGCTACACACTGATGAATATTTGGCCCAGTTGAGGTACTGGGTTTGACATGCCTGGTCCTGTAACTTACCTAACTCTGGGAGACTTCAGTCTGCATGGACTATTACCTAAAAGTGACCTAAAAGACTGTTGTACTATTCTGTCTATGGCCCTAATTATGCTGTTTTCCAATAGTATCTTAAACATTTGCTTTATTTAATGTGCTGTATTAAAAATAAATAAAATTTGTTTCTTCAAGATGTGTTGATTGACTTTATGTTAAAATATTTTGACTTTAACATAAAGTTGATTTTACAGCTTGTAATATTCTTTATATCTGCAGTACAAGATTTAATTCTCTGGGCTTTCATAATCTGTTTAAATGTACTTATATCACAGGGTTCTCACTTTCCTTTTTATTAAGTCCTCTTGTAAAAATTTTCTGTGTGTTCAGATAAGGCAGCTTTTAAAAATCTTGGGAAAAACCAAGGTATAATTTCTTCCTAATGAAGGCTGCATAGCTGTTGTATTGAGTCAATCAGACTGCAGTTCAAAAGTTGAAAGTCTTTGCAGGGTTCATACCATCCTTAACAGTACCTGAAGTCCTTAGGTTTTTTGGAAATAATTTTTGGTCCTTGAAAGTCCTTAATTTTACTCTTCTGACATTCCTGTTCATTTTCTTACAGCTACCATTTTGAGTGTGAATTAACATTTTGGAGGAATATTTCTGGCAGTGCATTGACAAATATGTATTTGATGGGTTAACTTTTGAATTCTTTCCCACTTTTTAATATAAATGATGGATGCTCAAGTTTTAGGCATGAGGCCCTGCCTCGATTGAAAATAAACTTTTTGAAATAATTTCTTTTTAGCAAATGAAGAATTCTAAAAATCACATCAGAAACAACCTTTCGCTTTTGGAGATATGAGTTCTTTCATTATGTGGCATTAAATTTTGCAACTTTTCAACATTTTGGCGATTTCAAGATCAGCTTGTATAGAAAATTTTTTATTCGAAGATTTGTGAAATTTTGATGATTGTTTTTACAAGCATTTTACTCATCTTACATTGATAAATATCTTAATATCATTATAAATATCATAAAAGTAAAGATAATATATTAAAATTATACTTGTATTTAAGAAATAATATTAAAATAAAATATTTTTATTTTCTCTTGCCATTATTTAAAATGATGTTACTTTCCATTTTGGAGACTAAGGAATATTTTGAATCTGAAAAATAAAGCCCAGTTTCTGAAACACTTCTTAGAAAAAACAAAAATGCTACTATAATTATTTTAAATTATTTTCGTTTGTCTTCTTTTCTATTTTTTCATGATAAAAAGTTTTTCCCATGTAATTGCTTTAGAATATTTAAATGTGTATAAATTTTCTCTTGAAAATTCAGTTTATTTTATTTTTGGCAGGGATAAATCTTCTGGCTTTTTGTTCTTACAGAGTTGAGGGATAGTTTTTATTTTGAATTTTAGACCATGCACATTGGAAGATCTAAAGGCAAGATTTAAAGTTTATTATTCTGACAGCAAGATTTATAGAACTACAATTTGTGATGAAATGAAACATGTCTTCATGGCATTAACATGCAATAGGAATGCTTTGTAGGAAATTCATGATGAATTTCTCATCATTTGGAGAATTTTTGGATGAACAGTGAAAACAAAATTAATCCCAGAATGCATTTATTTTTTTCACTAGACACAACCATTATAGCAACTGAAGAAAGCAAAGAAATGGAAAATCGATGATTTATTAAAAGATTCATCATGTATATCTCAGTGCGTCAGACATACCTCAGTGCCTGCCCTAAATTCTAAAACTTTTTAAAGCAATAAAATTTAGAAAATTTTATGCTCAGTGCTTCATTAAATTTTTAAAATTCTGCCACACTGGCTTTGACATTGACCTTAACCTTACAGCATTTTATATTTATTCTCAATACTCACATTATTAAAGAAATGAAATTAATCATTTCTTCTATATATTTTAAGTGCAAGTAGTTCTTTAGAATAACAGAAATGTTTAGTTAAATCTGAAAATTCTAGAATAAAGAGGAAATTTATTGAAAAAGAAATTTATTTTTAAAGAGAAAAATTATTCTTTCAGGTTATATTGTTGAAACATTAACAAATTAGGATATGAAACAGAAAGTAGTGGGAGCATTGATTTGTTCATTGAAACAAATAAACCTAGAAATTTTGCTAATGAGAAGGAAAGTGGTGTAAATTAACTGAAATATCTGGAAAATTTTCAAATAAATAAGACTTATAAACATTTTGTTGCTTGTTGTTGCTACAAAACATATTTTTTTTTTTATGCTTGTAATGTATAGTTATAGTAGTATCATTTTTGAAACAATATCATAAATTGCATCTGCTGTAAAGTATTCTTAATGCATTTTTTATGGATATTTTTTTAGAAATAAAAAAAAATTGTAACTACATAATTTAATTATTTTTAACTAACTACTCATCCTTAGAAGTTATCTCTACACTTTAAGGTGAGTTATCTCCTTCCCTTAATCTTTATTATGGAAGCAAGATACATTAAAAAAAATGCAAAAATTATACATGTATATATAAAAATGTAAACGTAAAACTCTCCAACAAAGTTCTATATCTTTAAGCAAGCAGCTGTGGTAACAACAGCTAGACTTTTGTCGTGAGTCACGCTGATTATTATTTTCTTCCCAATTTATGCCCCTTGGCATAAAATGTATATATACATTTGGACTGAGCAAGTGACAAAATGAGGCATTAAAGAAAGAATTGATATAAAAGTTAACTGTTAGTAACATATAAATAAACAGCCACTTATCTTATTTAAAATATGTGGGACTATTATATGTGTAAAATGTAAATGTTTCAAGAAATTTTATAATTTAATGCTAATTACTGCAAGTTCAAATATCTCATCCTATGGGTAGTGTCATGAATGTTTTGGCTATTTGTCCTTGATAAATGATGTAACAAATATTTGTTGAATATAAAATGAAATTTTTAAACGTAGGGCTAAGGATATAGAAATTTCATTAAAGCGTAATTAAAACAATAAAAACCTTCTACAAATAGAAGTCGTATTTAAAAAAATTGACAATAAAAATTTTTCAGTTCCTCTTAGAAACAAGATTGATTTCACAAAAGTATCTTAAATTGAAGCCTTTCAATTTGATTTGAAGGTAAATTTATTTTGCACTCGAATGCCATGCTGATGCTTTTGTAATTTTCTCCATCTATAACATGAATATGATCTAGTTTTCCTTAAAAAGACCACCTCTTAGATTGATAGTGAGATGTATATAGGAGGATCAGGGGGAAGAAAAAAAAAAAAAAACGTTAAAAGCATCAGCATTTGAAAAGTAATTATTGTGGAATGAATATTCTATCCTTCCATAATAATTTCTGTGTTAAAAATAATGAGTGTAGGCAGATAACACTAGTTGTCTAGCAGTGGTTGAAGTTCACAGACCCATCAGAGCAATTGTAACAGCAAGACATTTAGGAAAGTGGTCTCTCTTGGAGGTGCAAGCCGTGATTTGTTGTTCTGATCGAGTATCTGGAACATAGCCATACCATTACTACTAATCGTTATTGTGCCACTTAGACATGGTTACATGAAGTCATCCGACACGAGTGCCCTGTCTTGTTGAGTGATGGTTTCATCCTCCTGCATGGCAAGCCTGGCCCCATACTGCTCGCCAAACTCAAGAATTGCTGGGAAAGTTTAAGTGAAAAGTCTCGATTCCCCATATAATTCAGGTTTAGCACCCAGTGTCTATTTTCTTTTTCCAAAATTGAAGTTTCATTTATCTGAAATGAGGTTCTCTTCAGACAGTGATGTGAAAACAATCACCAATAACTGAATCAGTGAGCAGGGACGTGATTTCTTCAAAGCCAGGTTAAACACGTTGGTCCTGTGTTTAGTTAAATGCCTAAATAGATTTGGTGATTGTGTGAAAAACTAATAGACAAGTACACCTCTTAATACCCTTTTATATTTTCTATCTTGTTAATAAATAATTTTTTATTACCCTTGTGAACTTTTTTTTTTTTGGATCCACCCTGATAGATATGGCAGCATTGCAGCTTCACTTAATTTTTATATCACAACAAGAATGTTAACCCCCAACAGGACTGGTGCCATAGCTGGTATTGCCACCTCAGACGGCAAAAATTTTAGGATTTCGATAAAAACTGAGTGGTAAAAATTGGAGATGGTGAAACTTTTAGAATTTAGAGATGGTAATTTTTTTTTAACTTAGAGAGTTTTCAGGGGAAGCAGAATTTTTGACCTGCAGAGATTACACAGGACGTTTGGACAACATTAATAGAATGCTAACTTAGCCAGCGTGTCTTAAAGTGGTGTACAGGAATCTCGGTCAGGAAGAAATCACATTTACATCATACCTTTGTTTCTACTTTCTCCATTCCTAGATTTTCTAGGGGTGGGGGAGGTGGTTGTTGTTGTTTTAATTTGTGTTTGGAAGATTAGATCATTCCAAATTTCAGATTTTCTACTGTATTATTGATTCATTCAGTTAAATATTACTGCTAGCTCTCCTCAAAGGTTGGCATATCTTCTTAATATAACATTTTTCATAAATTCTGCATAAAATAACATTTAAAATATGTATATTAAAAGTAAACAGTTCATAAATGAAATATAATTATTTCAGTAAGTCATTTAAGCTTCATATTTCACATTATATTTCATTTTCTAAATTCTTTAAATAACTAACTTAAGTAACTAGTATTCTTTTTTAATGTAAATATCTATTTATTGCATTTACACTATTAAAACAAAAATTGTTTTTAACAAATAATTTTTCCACTATTTCATTGGGAAAAAAATTACTTTTAAGTGATTGAAACATATAAATTTCAGTTCAAGTAATTTTTTGTAATGTTTCTAATGCAGGATTTAATTCAATGCCCTCTTGTTGAAAAGAAAAAAGGTTCTAGCTCAAGCCAAAAATTAAAGGAAAATGTTGAAAATTCTAAAGTATCTAAAAGTAAGTAGGCATTTGCTTTTAAATCCATCAAAATATTGCTTTAAAAATTGTCATTCGTCTTTAATTTTAAAATTCCTTTAAATTAGCACTAATAGGTTGTTGTTTTTTCCCTATGGCTTAAAAATTATTAAAAGCAATTAAGGTGGAACTTGCTCATTTTTTATAAATGTCAAATTTGTATACTTTAAAATATTTTTGTGTGTTTATATTTGAGTTATCCAAAAATAATCAATTATTTATGAGATTCTTCTCATTGGTGTATGTTTACAGGGAGTGGCATAAAAAATGTATTCCTTTAGTGTGTTCATTCGGGTAAATATATAAGTAATTTATTTTTTATTTTGTAGTTGTCTGTAATCTTTGCCCATTCTTCTGTAGAATTTTTGCCAAATACCCACAATCTTCATACAAATAAAAATTTGAAATGAATACTAGAAGAATCTTGAAATAACCACATTTATTTTTCTGAGTCTCATTACTTGTGTTTGTTGTTTAGTGTTACTTGTGAAACAACATATTTCACAGCCTAACGCCCAAAATATAATTTAAACTACCTTTGAGAGTACAAAAGTTGGCTGCTCCTAATCTACAGTATCAACAGTGGATCATAAACATAATGTTACAATTCTGTATAATAAACTTTCTTCCGTTGACAAGAAATTGCTATGTACACTGCACAAAAAAAGGGTGGGACAGTTCTATATCTCCCATTCTACTGGGCCTATTGATGAAATTCAAACTGCCACTGAATGCATCGGATCACGCTGCAGCTTTATTTCGAAAAATGATTCCCGATAGTGAAATCGCTAAGAAATATTCAAGTGCAAAGACCAAAAGAGGTGCAATTGTTAAAGAAATGGGTTTGAAAAATTACACTGAGAAAAATTAAAAACTAATTAATGAGATAGAATTACAATACATGTTTTCTGAAATTACTGATGGGCTACAGAAGTTTTATTATATATAAGGGGTATTCAAATGAAAAGTTATAAAATGACATTATGGATATATTGAAGTTTTTATTCACAAGTAATCACCACAGCCCTGAGCACAATTATCCCACTGTTTCACGAGCCGAAGGATTCCCTCTTCCCAGAATTCCAGTAGCTGTGACAGGAGCCAGTCCTCCACTGTGTCCCATCCGATTTGAATCCCTTTGAGATATTGCTTCTCACCCAGGTCGATGAGCTCGGCCTGGTCTTGGGTCATCATTCAAACACTCCAGGCCTTCACGGAAACTGGTGCTCCACTTTCTCATAGGCTTGTCCAGCAGTCTTCCCATATATGACTACCATCCAGCGATGAATATCGGCCGGTTTAACCTCTTCCACAATCAGAAATCTCATAACACCTCGCTGCTCTTTAATTGTCGAATTTTGCAATGGGAATGCCATGATTTCCTTACATGCAGTGCCGCATCAATTGGACAAACCACAGAACTGCATACTTCTCTCATTTGTCATGTGCAGGCGCTTGCGCACAACTATGCTGGACGCTGCATTCGCATCCTTAATCTGTTAACTGGGTATGACGAAATTTTTCGTCATGCTGGGAAGACTATTTCAATGGGTATGACGAAATGTTTCGTCATGCTGGGAAGACTATTTCAATGGTTACGACGAAATGTTTCGTCTTGCTGGGAAGACTATTTCAATGGGTATGATGAAATTTTTTGTCATGCTGGGAAGACTATTTCAATGGGCATTCGTCATGCTGGGAAGACTATTTCAATGGGCATGATGAAATTTTTCGGCATTTTTTTGCAATCTGTCACTTGACCATTGTTCAAGAAAAAACGATCAATGGAACACACTTGTCCGCTCATAACTTGTGATAACACTCCTAATTTGCACAACTTAATTTCATTTTAGGGCTGCATTTCAGTATTTTACATATTAGTAACAACTTGTAGATTTGAGTAATTGTTAGTTTTTTATAAATATGGCTAAAAATTATTGTGAAGCAGAAAATATTTTTTGAATTGTCTGAAATTGACGATGAAATATTGCCCGTGAGGTTTGGTAAACGACGTCGAATTCTTAAGAATAAGTACCAGTTCGGAAGAAAGCGATAACGAACTTCTTTACCTGATGGTCCGGACGATTGAATCAAAGGATGATGATGTTATAGACCAAAATACTCAACCGACACATCAGCTGAATGGAAATGTGAAAGAATATTGCGATCGCCTTTCCCGTTTTTATCTCAATCTAGAACTTACATTTGAAGGACCTGAAGATAAAGGATTGCCTTTTTATTTCGAGAAATTTATCGATGAGAATTTTGTAGAACTTATTGTGGGAACAATCAAACAAATACGCTGGACAGTTTTTTGAAAAAAATAATTTCATGAAACCACGTTCAAGATGTCTCTCGTGGGTTGACACAGATGACCGAGAGATGAGAGTATTTATTTTTTTACTAATTTTGCAAGGAATAATAGGAAAACCTTCTTATCAGCTTTATTTCAACAAAGCGAGAAAGTCTGGAGACTCCATTTTTTTATAAAAACTATGTCAGAAAAAAGATTCCAACTGTTAGTAAAATTTTTACATTTTAGTGATAACAATGCTTTCAATCTAAAAGTGTGCAACAAAAAAACCTACAAAATCGATTCCATTTTGAACTATTTCAGAAACAAATTCAAGGTGTTATACGTACTAGATAAGGAAATATCTGTAGATGAGTCTCTTTTGCTATGGAAAGGAAGACTGTCTTGGAAACAGTACATTCCATCGAAAAGAAGTCGATTTGGTGTTAAATTGTATAAGATATGTGAACGTAAATCCGGATACATAAGTGATTTCATTATATATACAGGTAAAGACGCGCTGTATGGTTTGAACTATCCAGAACAGGGACCAAATCGTATTGTTCTTGAATTGTGCCACGATTTGTTGGATAAGGGATATACGCTATATCTTGATAATTGGTATACGAGTACTGATCTAGCTGAGAAGATGTGCAGAAGAAAAACCGATGTTGTAGGAACAATGCGAAAAAATAGAAAGGGAATACCATCTGAAATATCAAAAATTGTGTTTTGAAAAAAGATTAACATACATTGCTAGGTACAGAGACAAAATAATGATTATGAAGTGGAAAGACAAAAAGGATGTAATTATATTGAGTACTATCTACGACAATAAATTTGTAGAAATAGAAAACGATATCAAAACCAGAAGTTATCGCTGACTACAACAAAAATATGGGAGGAGTTGGTCTTGCTGACGGACAAATGAAAACTTATATCGCTAGAAACCAAGTAAAAAAGTATTACTATAAGATATTTTTACATGCACTAGACATGGTGTGTTTAAATGCATATCTTTTATACAAGAAAGATGGCGGTCACCTAGATAGGCTTCATTTCCTTATCGAAACTGTAGAAAAAGGTGTTGAAAATTATAGAGACGGATCGCAGTCGCCATCTACTAGTACAGGACGATCATCTTTGACACCAAAACCACCTCGACTCTTTGAAAGACATTTTGCAGACTATATACCATCCGACTCTTCAAGAGTAAATGTAATGAGGAGATGCAAATTATGCTATTCCAAGGGTCTTAGGAAAGAATCGAGATTTTGATGTCCCGACTAACAGTGTTGCTTTGTGTATGCCGCATTGCTTTAGGGAATATCATACGAAATAATTGTTTAAATTCGTTCAATTAATTTGTTTTTCCGGATTAAAAATGTTTAATTTTAATATTTAATATCATTAAATATTTTTAAACGATTTTCTTTTATTTATTCCTTGCGATGTGCTGAAGTTACTGCAAAGGAAAAAGTCTCCATTGTGAAACGATTTTACTGAAAGCTTATTCCCCAGTTAACAAGTTAAGATGTCTCTACATTATGAAAAGTAGCATATTCAATTTTCAACCAATTCATTTGTTACAACATTTCGTACCTTTTCATTTGAACACCCCTTATATATGATGGTCTTTTCGTTATATAGTGAACAGATGAAATCTGTTCTGTGTAAGATCTATCATCTCAATGACAAATGCCTATTCAGCCATTCAGTTATCCTTGCATGAAGCTGTGGCAGAAAGGCATAGGAAAAGTCAGATATTTGATAAGCAATAATACATTATTAATGCTTTTGACTTCCTGGTCAAAGGTCATGAATCCCACTGTCAGCCATGTATTGTATATATGCAATACACTGGATTTTTGAGGGTATCGTATAAGAACACAATACAGTAAATGATTTCATTGCAGCTAGGAAGAAGATTCGTTTAAAGCTGCCCTTCAAATCTTAATTTTTTGTGTAGAAAAATGTCTAAGTTCCATCTTCCAGATTTCTCTACTGTGGGAACTATGGCTTAGGTGAGATAATTATGCTGGATCTGTATATACGTTAAGATTAAATTTCAATAAAATCAAATGTGCTATATCTGATTTGAATTCAGTGGAAGTTAATAGTCCCTAAGCATGATCAACATATGCTCATTGACAAAAATTTTAATTTGAAAATTTTGGTAGCACATTTTTGTAATTGCCTGATATGATTGAAAGTTTCAAAAGAAAAAATTATGTAAAAAGAGCAGCAGAGATAACTGCTATGATATCTTGATGGATTTATCAAAGGCAAATTTGAATTTACACAGGGTCAGATTTTAGAGGCCCTAAACACTTAAAATATTTTAGTGCCCCCATGTATGTTTATGCCAGCCCCCCTCCGACATTGCTTCTTTCTTTTAATTTTGGTTTAGCTGCACCATGCATTCTATGGAAAAAACCGGCAATTGGAAATTTTTTGGAGCCTCCATTCCTGAATATTTAAGGACCTATTTTGTGGTATCCTTAAACACATACTGATATTGTTTAATGGTAATCCAACCCTGCTCTTACATGATATACATGAGTGGCAATGTTTCATATGCAGAAAGCATGGGATGCATTTAATTTGTGTATTATTGTAACTTTATATACTTACTCATTTTAACACCTTTTAAGTTACTTATATTTTGGTAAAACATAAAAGTAGCAGTATAGTCAAATACCGAAAATTCACTAACCTATCAGAATTAAGCATTCAGTTTATAGACTCAGAAAACTACAACAGGAAGAACAAGATACTGAATGAAGAAAAGAGAAATACTTACCAAATAATGATGTCATAATGGAAATACTTTCCAAATCATTGACATCATAGTAAAAGTTCTTTTTTCCCCCCTTCCAATTTGCATCAAGATAAAGAAGCAGACGACTTCACTCAACTTATCTTTCAAGTTTCATGTGGGTGTATTTCTTGACCTTTGTCATTTCACAAGATTGTTTAATGCTGCCATTTTGTTGTTTTATCTAGACTTTTTGTAGATAAAATTAAAAATATTTTCAATATTATTCATTCATTGCTTTAGATTTCTTGAAGAATTTGAATTTGATTGTAATCTAGCCTTATTGTAGGTTTTTCTCTTGCTATTATGTTTATTGGAAAACGAAAACATACATTTAAAAGTAGTGTTTATTTTTTTCAGTGGGAAAAGAGAATGTATTACAAACATACATAAGAATGTGTATGAAACTAATCTTATTATAATATGAATTAATTTATACTATATAAGTAACTTTTTTCTATTTGCATATTATTTAAACTTTGCTTTGTTGCTTTTTTCTCCTTAGATGTTGAAGGGAAAAAGAAAAATTCCAGGAAAAGAAATTCTTCACTGGAATCCCAAAATTCAGATAAAGTTAAGAATAGCTTTCAGAATGAAGCAGAGGAAAACTTGAATTTACACATTGCAGAAAACAAGTCTGGGAATGGAAAAAAAGATAAATATTTACATAGTGTCTCAGAAAAGCAAGAAATTGTAGGAGGATTACCAACAGAGGATTGTCTTTCTAGGAACAATTTGAAAAAATATCCTTCAAATTATATAACAATAAGAAATAAACAAGATACTCAATCTAATTCAGGTGTAGTAAAACAAGAAAAAGATACAAAAAGTCAAATTAAAAGTTCCAGTAAGATTGTTTCTACTATTTCATTGCATAAAGAACATTATTTAAATACTGACATTGTGGTACCCCAAAGTTGTAATGAAGAAATTTCAAAGGATTCTCGAAACAATAAGAAAAGCCTCAGAAATAAGAAGATTACAATAGATTCTGCTTCACAAACTGAGGAGAGCCGTGAAGAAATTTCTGAAACTTCAAAAGAAGAATTAGTTGCAAAAATAGATAAACTTATGAAAGAAATAAAAGTAATTGATCTGAATTCATTGTCTAGACATAAAGATGAGGTACAGTAGAACTTCATTTATTTAAACAGAATTGTTAAAGTGTAGAATTCTAAATTATTGTTAAAAAATAATTTGAATATTTTTTGACCTTTTCAATTTCATTTTATCAAAATTTGACTGTTTTTAATTTTATTAACTTGGTAGCTTAATTTCAAAATGTGTTAAACCATTTTTAATGTTAATTATATTTTAACAGTAAGTTTTAAGAAAACACAGAAAAGTGTCTTAAAATTTCTTTACACCTGTGCTACTTGTGCCTTTCACAGTGGAAAAAAAAAAGGGGGTGCAAAATCCTAATGTCTAAATTCAAAAGTTAACCTGAATAGTTTTATAAACTTAAATTTTAGACTGCTAAAGAACCAGAGCTGTAGCTTGGGTTTTCAGCACCCGGGGGACAACTGAAGATCTCGCACCCTTCTTGTTTGCAAAGAATGGAAAACATTTCATTCTAAAAATTTGTAACATCAGTTCGGCTCCCTTTGGGTGCTTTACCCGGGGACAGATCTTCCCTCCTTGCCCTTGCAAAGAACTATTAGTATTAAGATCAGTTTTATCTCTTGTATGTATTTTAATTTTAGTAATTTTATATCTGTGTATTTCCTCATTTTCCACACAATTTTTCACTGAAATATTCTGTAACCAGTAATAACGAATAACTGTTGTCATTATGTTGTGTAAATTAAAGGCTTATTAAATTTTGAGACATCGCTTGCTTCATGAGTTACAAAATCTCTTTAAAATTAAAAATTTCAAACTTTTACAGTAGAGAAGAAAAAAGGGAAAATCATTTTAAGAACGACTATCAGGAACTAAAATAGATCATTTCTGTTGACTGTTAAAAGCTTTAAGGAAATTTAATGTGACTATTAGTTGTTATAATTCATAGATAATTATTTGAATTCCTATTATCAAAATTAATTAATATATATATTTTATTGGATTCACTAATTACTACTAATCATTTTCAAATTTCATGATGAGTTTTAATTAATACTTCAATGCACTATAAATACAGTAACTAAACAGACAGCTAAAACTTTCAGTATATATTTTCTCAGTGTTTACAGATCGCATTCAAAGGATATCTAATGTATCATTGCTGCAAGGCTAAGGGATGCTGAACAAAAAATGTTTTTAAAAAAAGGCAGTGAGCTGGAAAAAGTTGGGCACCTAATCCAAAATAACAAAAAATAAAATTGTTTGTGTTCAAAATGTGCAGACACATTATTAGCTTATAACATTACAAGGTCAGCCACAAAATTGACAACAAATACAATTTTACAATATGGATTTACAAAAGATTAGGCGATTAATCAAAAGTAATTTAAAGATAAAATTGATCAGAAATTTGCTTTCAAAGTTTGTAATATTTTATAAAATTCTATGTATAACGTGTTACAGTCAAAAGTCTTTAATCTGGACGTCCATAATCTAGAATGATCTATAATCTGGACCTCAAAGCTACAAACTTTCTGCACATGCTTTTTATGCGCATAATACCTTTACGCATACACATTTAATGCATAACGGACGGTATAAGCTAAGCTAAATCTATTTCAGTTAATGTTGCAGATTGCGTTGTTCCTTAATCTTCTAATTGGATCCAGGTTATTATTTTTTGCAGACTGTTAGAGCAATTTTATAAAAGTAAGCTAGAACTTTCGAACTATGTCAAATAGAATCACTGATATATATTTACTAATCCGATGCTGGAGTTACCAAAGGATCTACAAAGCGAAAGCATGTTTTGATGTCGATCAAACAAAAAGTGGAATTGCTGCAAAAAATTGGATAAAGGCATCCTTTTTTGTTTCTCTAACCATTCTGAAATCTGTTTATCAATTTCATGCTGCTCTGTGGGATTGGGGGGGGGAACTTCACTGCACGCAATGAACTGGAAGTTGATCTGTCAGCACTATCCTTATCTTCAGGGCAGATGTTTTTATTTTATTCAGCTTATAATTCCTTACTAAATGTAGTATTTCATCTCGATGTACTCTGTCTTTGATATGATTTAAATCAAATTCCTCGTCATTATAAATATCACGTACAAATAGTTTTCTGGTTCTCTGGAATACACATCAAATAGTTTCTGGTTGCAATTTTCTAATTTCGACTATGCGTAATGTATGCTTTACGCGTGCACGCAATGAACTGGAAGTTGATCTGTCAGCACTATTCTTATCTTCAGGGCAGATGTTTTTATTTTATTCGGCTTATAATTCCTTACTAAATGTACTATTTCATCTTGATGTACTCCGTCTTTGATATGATTTAAATCAAATTCCTTGTCATTATAAATATCACAAATACACATCAAATAGTTTTCTGGTTGCAATTTTCTAATTTCGACTATGCGTAATGTATGCTTTATGCGTGCGCGTGTTGAAAGAAATTTTTAACAAAGTAAAAAATAAATATTAAGGTTTTTTTTGTAAATTTTGATACCCTTTAGTTCATAATTGCTCTTTATTTCATAAATTACGGTTTCATATTTTTAATTTTATAATTTCTGCATGCCATATTACCAGATTTAAACTGATGATCTATAATCCAGAATCGCCGAAGTCCCGGCAAGTCCAGATTAAAGACTTTTGACTATATTTAATTTATTTCAAATCATTCTGTAATGTAGTTTTATGGAAATATATATATATATATAAACACACACACACAAGAAAAAATTTTGCCTCACATAATAAGGTTAAGCATTATTCCTAATGAAAAACTGCATACGATATACATACATATATATATATATATATATATATATATATATATATAATTGAACCTCCATTTACAAATATTTGACTTGAGTTGATGTTCACCTTTAGCAAACAATTCCTGAATCCCTTAAAATGAGAGATCAGTGCTCTACGATTTAACTAATAGTTCCTGAGAAGAGACAAAAACCTTGGATTCGTGAAAATCTACTACCCAGAGGGTTTTCCATATGTATATCACATTTTGCTCTAAATAAGCTTTAGCATTATTTTCCAAGATGCTCATAACATAAGCCCAATTTCAGAAATAACCCTTGTAGATACATTAGGTTATTTTGAAGTAGGAGGTATAAAAAATTAGCAAGTCGCCCTCTTCATGACTCGGGCGTGAACCTCTCAAATATATGCCGAGTGTGCTGACCATTACACCACAAAGGCATGCCAAAAGGAGGGAGAACATACCTTATATGCCCCCTTTGAAAGGATGAATGAGGATTAGGAATCCCAGTCGCCAAATCCTGGTGATGAAGAATTATCATCCACCACCTTTTAGTTTGGGCATCCACTGTAGAGTTCTTAGAATTTTTTGTAGTAGGAGACATGAAAAATTACCATTGTCCTCGCCAAGACTTGAACCTGGACCTCTCAAATATGTGCCAAGTGTGCTAACCATTGCACCATGAAGGCATGCCAGAAGGAGGGAGAAAATACTTATACCCTTAGTGAAAACCTCACTCAGGTAGATGCCAGAATTAATTGAAGTGACCAGTCAGAATGCGAGCAGAACATTATCAAGTATGCTTGATAATGAAAGGATATGATTAATTAGAATCTTCATAATTCTTTATGCTGTGTGTTGAACTGAACATATTTAATTCGCTCTTTGCAGTAAACATTTTCTGAATTTTGTGCCTGCTGTTTTCATCACTTCTGTGTTGGTATTCAGTCTCAAGAATTTTTGCTACAATGTCTGTCTTGTAACTCTGCAATTAACATCCGATTTATTATCATAATTAAAGTATATGTTTTGATTCTCAAAGAGGAAGAGCTGTTCCATTTAGTACAGGAAAGGAATTGAGGAAGAATCTTGTGACAATGATCTTACTTCTTTTTGCAAAGAGAAATTATTAGAATTCAAACCATCCAAAAATCGCAATCAAAGTATGATTGATAACCTCAGTCAATTGATGGAGAAGGAAAATACTAAAAGGACAAATATGGACTAGGTTTTTTTTTTTTACTTATTACGTGCTGCGCCCTCAATACAAGACTCATTTTGTTTACTATAAAACTTCTTTAAATGTTAATCCTTGACATGTACTTCCGATTACAGGATTTGTTAAAATAAGGTACATAATTTCATGAAAACTGTTTCTGCACTAGAAGCAGGAAGGTTCTTTAAGTATAAAATTTGAATTGTTTATAAGAATTATTTCATTGCATTTTGATAAAATAAATCAATTAATTTTCATGCCTTTAAATGCAAAATTCGTGTTGATATTTCAGAGCAAATTTAAGAACTTAGATCACTTTTCGGTGCCTAATGTTAAGCAATTTTGAATTCAGTTTCTTCAGAATTCAAGAAGAAACTGAACAAAAGTTTTCAGTTTGGCAATTATCATACTTTGCTATTTTGGGATGATTCGACAATCTAATAATTTCTCTTTGCAGAAAGAAGTAAGATCTTTTTCATGAAATTCTTCCTTGATACCTTTGTATTAGAAGGAATAGTTCTCTTTGTGCTCATCTTTTGAAATCAAAACATTATTTCTTTTAAATATAATAATAAATCAAGTGCTAATTGGAGAGTTATGAGACAGAAGTTGTAGCAAAATTTGCTGAGACTGAATAACCATACAAAAATGATGTAAACTGATTTCAATGAGAGCATTAAATATGTCCATTGCAATACAGAATTATTCTGTATTGCAATGAATTCTAATTAATCAAGTCATGTCCTTTCATTCTCAAGCATACACATGTGTTGTGTTTCCGCTCTGATTGGTCACTTCAGTAATTCTGGCATCCCCCCCCAAGTGAGGGTTATTTCTGGAGTTGGATTTATGTTATGAACATCCTGCAAAATAATGCTAGGGCTTATTTAGGACATGGGAATCTGTCTCATTAATAGACTTTCATGAAGCCAAGGTTTTTTTGTGTCTTGTCAGGAACTATTAGTTAAATGGTAATGTACTGATCTCTCATTTTAAAGGTTTGGGGAATTCAGAATTGTTCATTAAAGATGAAAATATCTGTAAACGAAGGTTAACTACATATATATTCAGAAGAAAAAACTTTGACTCACATAATAAGGTTAAACCTTATTCGTAATGAAAAACTACATTACAGAATGAATAAAAATAGATGAAATAACACATATGGAATATTACAAACTTTGAAAGCAAATTTCTGATTAATTTATCTTTTATTACTTTTGATTAATTGCCTAATGTTTTGTAAATCCATATTTTAAAATTGCATTTGCTGTCAACTTTATGGCTAACCTTTTAACACTGTAAGTCATTAATATCTGCACATTTTGACCATAAAGATATGGAACTTTTTGTAATTAACTTTTTAAAGTGTAATAACTATTGCAGTAACTGGAATTTTTGTTCTATGGGAACCATATAACCATTGATTTTATAATTACCAAATCCTTTATGCTCACAATATTCACATTGCTTTCATAAAACTTTTTACCTTATTTTGAGCATCTTCGAAATTAAGAAATATCTGTCTGAGATGAATGTTTTAAAAGAAGGTCTAGTTACTTTTTTGAACATCTTGTGTATATATATTCTTTTTCAGTTATTCCTTGACATCCTAAATATGTATTTAATGCAATTGCATTTTAAGAGGTAAAATAATTAATAATCTTTTATAGGCACCTTCACTTGAAAAAATTATACATCGTAGTGTGAGTATGGAATTTGATAGCCTTCGTCAGATGTTCTATCTTCAGCACATGTCTTTATTCAAGCACTTGAATAAGACAATGGTTTGAATTTTTTAGTATTTGTATTATAAATCAATTAGTCTTTACATTTATTATATTGTAAAATTATGCTGAAAATATGTTTAAGATTTCAGTTTTGTCATTCAAATGTCTAATATGAAGAATAAAATTTAATTATTATTATATTAAAAATAAAATTTAATTAGTTTTATGTTCTATTATACTGAAAATATATTTGAGATTTCAGTTTTGTCATTTAAATATTAAATATGAAAAATAAAATTTGACAGATATAATTTTTATATAATTATTAATATACAATTATAGTACATTATAGTACAAGAATGCTTTTAATGTAAACCTCATGAATTATTGTTTTTAATATTGTGGTAAATATATTTTTATTTTTGTGTCCCCTTTACATTTTTCTGACCAAATTTGCTTTCAGGATGCTTCTTGATTTCTCCTGATTTTTGATAATTGAAAGTCTGATATATTTGGTTTTTTGTGTGAATAAAAGATATCTAAAATACAGTGGTACTTCGTTACACATCATTTAATGCATTCCAGATCTTTAGACTTGTATCAAATAAACTCTTCCAATAAGAAAAATTGAATTGTGTGAATAAAAGATATCTAAAATACAGTGGTACTTCGTTACACATCATTTAATGCATTCCAGATCTTTAGACTTGTATCAAATAAACTCTTCCAATAAGAAATAAAAGGGAAATAATTAATCTGTTAAAAAAAACTTATTGTTATTATTATAACATAAAATATAAATGCATTTGGGGATATATACTGCACATGAATGAAGTACTGTACATAAATGTTTCTCTGTTATCCTGATCAAAAGCCCTTTCTTAATACATTCTAATGTCTCTTATCTTTGTTTGGTAACTGATTCTGCCTTATTTCCAATGTTAGCCAATTTAATAGCATCTTTGATTTTTATAATCATAGATACTCAGTATATGGTATGCAATAGCCAAGCTCCAAATACATATATCATCTTCATATTTTTTCACCTCCTTGGTTATATCTCAATTTTCTTTGTTGCTTGGCTCTTCTCATTACTTTCTTAAAACTTATTACCATATACGCTCACATAATTAATGTCCGCATTTTTTTTACTAAAATTACGTGACTAAAATGCAGGTACTGACATTACATGGGTCGTTCAAATGTTGCGCTTTTTCTTGGGAGTAATCTTGGATGTAAATTTCATTTCAAACAGTGAAGTTAAGTGTGGTAAATTAGTGGAAGAAAATGGCTCAAGTAATAAAAGTATCAAATGTAAGGTCGTCTAATAGCTACCTAAAATTTACAAACTCACTTTCTCCCATCTACATACATAATATAAATTACCCCGTTTACGTTATCAACACTCGATGCATGATAGTTCGCACAGGAACACAATATTGAGGCACAAATTAACCAGCACTTGCAATTTTAATATTTACTTTTAAACAAATTAAATAAACGTTGGGCCTTTTAATGTCTTGCACACATTATTTTTTGAAAAAAAATCTGCTCTGACGCAGTGTATTAAAATCCATTTCATTTCGTCATTTGCAGCAACCAGCGTTGAATTGGGATGCAGGAATGTTTTCTCATGTTGTAGCAAGTGATCTTATTTGGCACAAACCGCTAAGCAGTTGTTAACTAATATTAAGCACTTTTTATTCCCTCCTTAAAAGGGTTCTCAGGCACTGATACTTCAATTAACTTAATTGCTTTAAGAGAATTTGATGCTTTTTTTGCCATAACACTTAAAGCTATTATTTTATTTATTCTAAAGTTTCTCCTCAGAGGCAGTTTTGGCCATGTCTCTTTAAATCTAACTCGCCTAACGAGTTCCCGCTTTCCCTCTCCCAGACCCGAAGCACTTGCGACATGAAAGCTGTTTTGTGAGTGTGTTTCTACTCTCGTGTTTTTAATATCACAAGACCATTGATCAAAGAAATTTCAAAGCTTTTCAAAATTCATAATATAATCCCTTCCCTTCAAAATTTATTCTGGCCTTTTTTCGATCTCAAAATTTACAAATTAAGTCCTCCGGTGTTTTAACCTTTTTTCACTGTGCCCCCCTTCTTCCCTCCCCTTTTTTTTAAACATTTAGACACCAAAGCTTTACTTCTTTGCAGAACCCTCTTTTTGAAAATAATACTAATCTTTGATGATGTGGGGATAAAGGCTCCAAGCTTAAGTGCCTCGTAAATTTCTTGGTTATTTCTCACATTTCCCGTGTTACTATGGACCCTTGAGCATTCATATCACAGACCTATGCAAGTGCTTTTTTTTCCCAAGTTCTGAAACTTACATTTCGAAGCACGAAACGCACTTCTGACACCAGTTTTTATGTTATTTTCTTCCTTCACGTTTGTACGGGGTTTATAGATTTGGAGTGAATAACGACGAGACTTGATAAAGTATCAAAACACACTTTATTTAGCCAATACTGATCAGGACAGCTCCAAAGTCACATTTTACAAACGTCAAAGATCTACTATAAACACGCTGACACAATCAGCGACACAGCCTTCAGGTTATCAGGTTTTCATGATGGAGACAACTTCACTGCAAAGCACCAGAGTACGGCTCCCGACTCTGCTTGGTCGTTCTTGGAACTCCACGTACTCTCTAGACTCTCCACGCTACAACTCGCAATGCACTCCATGATACACAAGAGTATAAGCTCTCGACTCAGCACAGTTAAAACAAAACTCGACGATGCGCTAACTCGCAATACACTAAAAGACTCTCTTGATGCACTCGACGACCAACTCGGCGCTAAACTTCGAGACACTTGCTCAGTGATTGACTATCAGCTCGCTAGATGAGGCACACACTAACTGACTGCGGACCAGCAGGGTTTATACAGCTTTTGGCTTGTGTTCGAGAGCATTCTGTGATAAACTGGTAAGAATTCGTTCCAGAAGGTCCTCCATCCGTCCATGGTATATTGCCAATTTTGTCACCAAATGTGGCAACCCTAAAACTGCTTTGCGGGAAAGCCATCTAACTGCACCTGTACATTTCATAACAATATCGAAGTATACCAATATCAGGAAAACTGATATTTTAAAAAGATAATTTTTATTGTGGATTTTTAATTGTGTGCATTTTGTATGATGAGATGTTGAAAATTGTTTTATTCTGCAGGAAGAACTTAAGGAGCAAAATTCTGCAACAAATGCATGCCTTGCAATTATTGAACAACTGTATGTAGAAAATCAGCAGTTAAAAAAAGCTCTATCAACAAGACTGTGATTTTTCCTTTTTCATTTTAATGTTTTGTAGGTTAAATCTTGTGTATTTTTCTAGTGATTTTTGTTATTTTGATTTTAAACATTGTAAAATTTTGGTGCACTTTGTTATTTTCAACTTTAAAATTTTGGTGTATACAATTTTTTTTTAATTAGGGTATTTCTTTTGTTGAAGTACATTAGCTTGAAGTATTTTTAAATTTTATGAAACTGTATATAAAAATGGAGTGTGTGATCTAAAGGCACTATGCATGCAATTATTACTCTACAGTGAGATTTCTTTCATAATCACAACAAAACATATGTGTAAATTTTTGTATAATTTTAAGTGTAATCAAATCAGTAATGATCTGTAATGTTTAACAACTGTTTTAATTCTGAATATATTGTTAAATATATTTTAATTAAATAAATTATTGAGATAGAATTAGCTTTAATTACTTTATTTATTAAAAATACAATATTGATTAATGTTTGAAATTTTCATGCTGTGAAAACTATAGAAGTTAAATACAGCAGGGTTGTATTTCTGCTGGCAAAAATTTGATGTAATTGGTATGGAAGTTTGGGGTTTTGTTTAGGGATTGTACACAATTCAAAGAGCCTGTTTATATGAAAATAAAAATAAAATAAAATTTAAAAAGTTTTGTGTTGTTAAGATAGTGAATGACAAGCATTGCTATGCAGCTTACATGAAAGATATTGATCAATATAATTTTTGAGGAGAGAATTTGAATAAAGATCTTATTTACAAACTTAATATAGTTTGTGTTTGAAAAAGCAATGGCTAACATCAGTATTGGCACACAACAGCATTATTTACATAAGCTGAAAATGAAAAATATATCAGTATTTGGATAATTTGTAGAGTTTCACTTGATATGATAAAGTTAATTAGTTCAATAATTCTAAGAGACATGAAGCAAATTATCGCTATATCTGAAACAACAACGTGAATCGTGAGAATGTTAAAAATAACCTTTATCAGGCAGAACTTGTGATGAAACTAAATTAAACAGTAAAATTTAAGTTAAACATTGAACTGTAGTCGAAGACTGCCAAATTAAATGCTATACTAGAAGCTGGTTCTATTATTAATTAAGCTAATTACTATACTAAAAGCTGGCAGTGATAGAATGCAAGTCCAAATAATTACAACTATCAGAGCTCTCAGAAAACTAACACATAGCTTGCATGAGGTGCCAGAAATATACTCGACCTTAAAATCCTAAACCTCACTTCAATTACTGATTACTCATTTGCATTCTGGTGAGGAATACAGAAGGAAGAATTTATAGTTAAGGCTGAAATTATAAATGGTTAATTAATATAAAATTCCCTACGAACTAATAAATTACATGTTAAAATTTCATTCATCATACAGTGTGTAATACAGTAATAAATTAAAGAATGTTTCATACTAGTAAATCACAAAACAATATCACTAAATGACATTAAAGGAGAAAAATTAACCTCAAATTGTTATAATGTATTTTTAATTGACCTATGAATGCATGTCAAAAATCCCAAATTTTGAAATTAATTGTCTTGGTCAAACTTTTTTGTGTTCTGTAATTTATAATAAACATAAAATGTTTCTAAATATAATGATGATAAGGTCCGAGAAACCATATGTAAATGTTAGATTTCATTATTTTTACGAAATTGGTTTTGTTTGATTTAAATGTGCAAACAGTACATATTTTCTCGTTGAAAACATTTTTGTAAGTCTATATATGTGGCTAATCACGAAAATAAAGGCTGCATAAAGACATTTATGCAGCATTTTTAATAAATATGTAAAAATTATTATTACATGGTTATAGTTCCAATAATTTTTTTTTTTTTCCCTCCTACAGAAATATATGTTTAAAAGTAAATAAAACAAAAATTTTAAATTAATCATTATTGCTTTTGATGTTTTAATTGTAGTAGTCAGATAATCTGCATTACTGCTGTTGATAAATCATTACTGATTAACTAATCACAACTTGTCTTGCATTTTTGAGATGCAATTTCATATTTAGGAGGTCATTTAATCTGAATCTGAATAAGGTTTCTAGTTGAAAGAATAATTCCTTGGTGTAAAATGATTTTACCAGAAAAAAATATTTTACAATTTTATTTGAAAAAACTGCTAAAACTTTGGAAGATTTTTTTCTAATACATGAATAAAGAAATTCAGCTGTGCAAAATGCAGAATATAATTTTAGTTTGACTACTTTAGTAGCATTAATATGATGTAAATAACGTAAAATTTTGCAGCAAGAGAATGGGGGCTTCAGTGTTTAGGAGATGTTATTAAAATATGAATTATATTCTTTTTCTAGCATGTATAATTTCATTAAGTAAAATAAAAGAGATCCTATGTAAATTATATTTTGCTTAAAATCAAAGCTTTTGAAGTGCCATTGTTTTGGTTTTATAAAGTTGCTTTTAGTGACCCAGTAAAAATATTGCTATTGTAAAATGGTTTTGTCTACAATCTAATTTTCTTGGAGTCTTCAAATTCTTTAATGAAAAATAACTGTGTTCACATGTGAAGCGTAAATCTGATAAATTCTTTTTGAATTTTTTAAAAATATTATTAATTATTTCAGAAAAGGCTAAAAATTAGAAATCTGCTAAGCTAAAAAGAAAACTTGTTTGTGTGTGCATAAATGAATGAAAAATGTCATAATGTCAGTGATGCATTCCTTCTTTACAAATATTGGTAAACTAAGAAGAATTTAATTTTGTCTCATTTCATGCTTTTTGTCAAATATATTTTCTCAATTGTAATAATATCAAAATTAAAGGAAACAAAACTATATGTGTAAATGGTTATCATACTTCTAGATGTTAAAATGCTAAATATGAAGATGGTATGATATGACAGGCATGTTAACCCTTTCGACCCGACTTTGGCATGATTAAAATTTAACTATGGAAAGTAGTTTAATTTAATATTGATATACTAAAAGAGTGTAATATGAGTTTAAAGTTTTTAGCATTTTCCGTTTCCTGGAAATCTCCTGGGACAATATGTCCCAATTGTATTGTCAACTGGAACTATTTGTTCCAGTCTTCTAGGATATAACCCTTCCTTAGGAAAAAAAAACTAAAATTTACAGTAATATATAATGTGAATATTGCAAAACGTAAACTCTGTCACATGCACTAGTTCATAAATAACAAAAATTTTCATATGTGTTTCATAAACACAAACATAATATATCAGCATGTAGTGATTTGATCACTGATGGGACATATTAATCCACTGTTAAATACGATTGGGACAATATTTCCCACAAAAAGAATTTATTCAAAATTTCTTAAATCTGACAATAAAAATGCTAAATTACTACTTATTAAGAATAATTAGAACTATTTCATACTAAGTACGACTTAAATATAATTGTACCTACTGTAAAATTAAAGTGTGCTATCTGCAATCTAAAAGCATTGCCAGGTTTCTTTTGTCATATATTTGTCTCCTAGTTCCTTAAAAACACTACAAACGTAAAACCTATTTAAAAGTGAGTTTCAGTTACCCAATATGGCATGAATGTAATCTCTGAGACGTATATGCCCATTAAGATTGAAAGGGTTAAACTCAGTAAAACATATCTCAGGGAGGTCAGCAAGGATGATGAAATATCTAAATTGTCGCAGTGGAAGTGGGAAGGGCACTCTAATGCTATTATCTCTGCTGTACACCAGGTTACTAGTTTTCTGTGCAGGAAGAAAGTTCATAAAAATGTAGTAGAATTTGTCAGCAACAGGAAAGTTGTCAATGCTAAGTCTTGCAGAAGGAAAAAGCATTTAAAAAATTGTGGTTATGATGTTAGTCGTAAGAAAAAAAGATCCTACTAATAGAGAAAGCAAAACTGAAAGAAGAAAAAGAACCTGCAGAAGACAAAGCTTCAACATATCCCAGCTAATATGAGAGACTTTGCCAGTTCAGTAATTCCAAAGAGGTCTTTGATGTGACACAGCAAGCTCTTTTCCAATTGTAATATTTCATTCCTTGCGCTCTAGCAGGGAATGAAATATTAACTCATTAATATATGTGGTTAGTCTACTAAAACCTGATTAATTAGGAATACATAATTTTCATATTTACAGACTTGATATGGAAAAGGCAAAATAATCCACTGGTAGTAATTAAATGTAAAATATTGTTTATAAACTTTTTTAATGAAAATTGGTGAAAAATGAGTATTTGAATATAATACAATTAATTTGCGAGATACCTACCATTCAGTAACTTACTACGTATTTTACGATTCCTCTTACTTGCATGTATGTTCTACTCACCTCCTTCCTGTATGTACCTAATCTCTTGCTCCATGCTCGGTACCAAATATCTCACTCAGTCAGTTCAGTCATGTCACAAACTGGGGAATAAGTACACCTTCCTCCCACCCAAAAAGTGACTGTTCTGTATCTCCCATTCCACTGAACCAGTTGTCGAAATTTACTTGCATTTTCCATGTCTTGAAAACGCAACTTAGGCTATATATGTTAGATTTAGTATATACAATAATGTTCTAACATAGATATATTGACACAAAATTGGACTTTCTCTGAAATAAAATAACCAATTTCCATATTTCGATTCTAAGACTCAAATTATGTGCAGATGTTAAATTTTGTAATTTTTGGTGAGAAATTTTAAAATTTATCTTGAGGGGCATTTTTTTCAGTCTCTGCTAAGAATAATACACTTGACGAACTTCTTAATTTATAGCAACTTAGTTTCCTTTCCTTTTTTTCATTGTACACGAGTAGAAAAAAGGTCATTGTTCATACTTTCAAAAAGTGCATAAACTAGATTTGGCAGTATTATAACTTATAATCAAATGTGCCAATATGTAAATTCGCATATATTTTAGGAAATTTGAATAATAAACCTTAATTTTTGTGGGTATGCTTAGAAACTTATCTACTTTAAGATGATGGTAAAAATTTTATAGGTTTATAAGATATTTCTCCCGTCTTCCTAGCATGCCTTCGTGGTGCAGTGGTTCTGCATGCTGGGCTGGTATTCCAGAGCTCCATGGTTCAATACCCAGCGAAGGCAATTGCTAATTTTTCATTTTGCCTGCTTCCAAAAATCCTAATGTCTCTACAGTGGCGCCCAAACTAAAAAGGGCGGTGGATGATGATTCTCCACACTCAGGATTTGGCAATTGGGCTAAACCCCACACCCTTTAAAAGGGGAGTATATAAGTTATTTCTCCCACCTTCGTGATGTAGTCGTCTGCATGCTGGGCGCGTATCCAGAGGTCCGTGGTTCGATTCCCTGCAAAGGCGATTGCTAATTTTTCATCTTGCCTGCTTCCAAAAACTCTACAGGTTATGATTCAATTTTTTTTTTTTTTTGGAAAATTTATAAAATTATTTTTAAATACAAATTTTAAAAGTAAATCATAAAAAATGGGCAAATTTTTTTTTGCAATGAACCTAAATTTCGAAATGTGACCTGAAGAATCAAGTAAGTTTAATAAAAAAAAAAAGAAATATTCATAAATATATATCGAATTCAATTAACATGGAAGAGCTAAAATTTAGAGAGCTAATTTTTTAAAAACTACTCATGATTTTTACAAAACTTGGCACTTTGGCATAATTTGAATTGTAGAATCAAAATATGGAAGAAAAAAAAAATGGGTTTCTTATTGCAGTTCGATTTTGTGCCAAAATACCTATGTTAGAATAATGCAATATATAAATCTAATGTATATCCTAAGTCGTAATACGAGATAAATTT